TTAGCACGCCGTGTTCAGTCTGACCCCAGAGCTAAGAGCAGAGAAGAACAGGATGGCCCAGGGCAGCACAGCGAAGGCAAGAAGTTCCATGCATTTCCTGCTTCCGAAGTCATTCTTGACTCATTGCTCAGGTCCCAGGGACAGAGAGTTCCAGCTGCCACGCCCAGCTGCTTGGAATTTTACAATGTAACAAGTAGAGAACAGGCATTGAAAAGTGCCCGGAAATTATACTTCAAAAAATCCACCCTCCCCATTTTCTTTTCCAGGATGTGCGTATTTCTGATGATAAGCAAGTGTGAAGAGTCTGCAAATCAGGCAGCCAAGCTTGCTGAAGGAGGAGGGTTTAGCATAAACCATCCATCTGCTGAGCTCACTTACCCCACAGTCCACATCTGGAAGATCCCCTGTCCACTATATAGCTCTCCTAACACGGAGCCTAAAGCTTCCACGGTGCATTTCCTGGGTTCTGCTCACCTTATCTGCCATCACACCCTCCAACTCCTCCCTGCTGGCTCTCTGATGCCTAAAAGTCCTTTACTGTGGAACAAAGCCTTTCATTTCACATCAGGCGCTGAGACTTACAGTGCAAACACCCCTCAAAGAGGTGGAGCTGCTTTAAATTCATACCATGTAACTTAGGTAAAAATTAATGATCACGTTTTTTTAATCCTTTCCCTGAGACCACGTTTCAGTGAAGGCAGAGAAGAGAATATGAACACGAAAAAGGGCAGCGTTGGAGGAAGGGAAATCTTAAGAAAGGAGAGGCCAAAGCCACCCGAGGGCAATCTCTGTGGGGTGCCATGCCTGGTCCTTCTAAGTACTTACTTTCTGCATTTCTTTTTCAAAATAACCATTCTAATTTTTAAAATGTAAACATGAATAAAATTTCCATGGATATCTCAAAAGCCAAACAATGGAATAAATCCAACCAGAGAAGACTTGAGGAATCCTGTAGAGATCCTAAGTCACACCAGCCCTAATGTAAAATAGAATGGGCATGGGAATTTACACAGCAGGTTACATAGCAAAGCAGTCTAAATTTTTCCTGTCCCTCTGACTTTCTGGCTGCCCTGCCACTCCAGATCGTCCCTCTCTGCCTCAGTGCACCTCTCCTCTACCTGTTCTCTGGGTTCTGTGCTGCCTTCCATTATCTTTTTCTCTTGTCTGATGTTTGTTTCTGGTCTGACCAATCTCCCCGAGTCCACTGTCCAAAGGAAGCAGAATTTGGTCTGTATTTGCTTTTTCCTTTTGGAGACCAGCTATCTGGAATATATTTCTCCACTTCATTATACAGATTGTGAAAATTAGCCGTTATATAGTAGATGCTGTATTAGTCAGCTTTTTTTTTTTTTTTTAATTACTGGGACAAAATACCTGACCCTCACAACTTAAAGAAGCAGAGGTCTATTTTGCTCATGGTTTCACTTTGCAGTTCATGGATGGCTCACTCAAGGCAGAAACATCGCAGCACAAAGCTTCCTGGCAGAAGAGAGTTGCTGAACTCATGGTACCCAGAAAGTGCAAAGGAAGGGCCAGGGACCAGATATAGTCCTCAAGGTCATGACCATATGTTCCACCCAGATACACCCCAAACTTTGCTTTACTAATCTCCTAGCATCTCTAAAGCCAATCATTTGACAACCAAAATTAACATCATAGGTGCCCAATACATGGTAACTATTCTTACAGAAACCACGAACCTGCCTTGTAGAGGTCCTGTGAACATTATTAAATGAGCAGTCTCATCACCAGTATTGTGATAGTAACTGGGCTCTTAGTTTGTAGGACTTGCTCACTGTTTAGCAAGACAAGCTACCGGTGACTTTAGGTCCATGTGCCCACAGCTAATCTCCCTGCAGTGGATGATCTTTGACTTCAGAGCATGTCCTTTTAAGTACACAGGTGTAAGGTGAACAGATATCCATTGCCCTGGTTTAACGGTTTAACAGGAAGTTTTGTAACTCAAAACTTCTGCTGTTCCCAGTATCTCCTTATTAGAGGAAGGTGCCTTGTCTGTAGATGGTCCCACTTCTACAATGAAATGCAATAGAGGATTCGTTTACTTACAGTTTCAGTTATCTGTAGTCAGTAGAGCTCTGAAAATATTCCTTGGAAATTTTCATAAATAATTTTTTTTTTTTGCGGGGTGGGTACTGGAGATTGAATTCACGACCTCGCGCTTGCCAGGTAGGTGCTTATGCCACTGAGCTAAATCCCAACCCATAAATAACAACTCATAAGTTTTAAATCATGTACCATTTTGAGCAGAGTGACAAGATCTTGCACTGCTGCTGTGAATTGCCCCCTTGTCCTGCGATCCCTGCTATGTGTCCTGTATGCCACTCAGTGGCTCTCTTAGCTATCACTTGCAGTTGGTGGTGCTCGGGTGACCCTTAATTTACTCAACAGCCCCAAAACATAGCAGTAGAAATGCTGGTGATTTCATGAGAATTACTTTTATAATTATCCTATTTTACTGGTAGCATTTGATATTACTCTCTTATTATGCCTAATTATAAATTAAATGTAATCATGTTTAATCATATAGTAATTAAAAATGTAGTATATTTAGAGTTTGGGACTGTCTAAAAAACACCCCAGGGTATACACTATCTAGGGTTTGTACTATTTGTGTTCCAGGCATTTACTGAGCGGTGTAGGAACATAGCCTCTGTGAATAAGAGGGGAGATTCTGCCTTAGATTTGGTAGTTTTTGTTGTTGTGTTGTTACCAAGAATCAAACTTATGACCTTGTGCTTGCCAAGCAAGCACTTGTGCCGTTGAGCTAAGTCCCCAGCCCTAGACTTGATAGTTTATAAACAACTGAAATTTGTTTCTTACAATTCTGAAGGCTGAGTAGTACAAGATCAAGATTTCAGCAGATTGTGTCAACCAAGTACAGATTTATTCATCTCTTTTTCTAATTCTTTCCTTTTTTTGTTTGTTTGTTTGTTTTGACAGGATGTTGCTATACAGTTCAGGCTGGCTAGACTCCCTGTATAGCCAGCCTGGCCTTCAGCTCCCAGCAATCCTCTTGCCTCAGCCTCCTAAGTGCCAGCATTAGAGACAAGTGCTATCACACTCGGCCCCTAGTCTTTATTTCTTTTGTCCTTTTTTTTTTTTTCATGGATTAATTTGGTAGAATGGAGAAATTCTGAACATTAGATACCACGATTTAGTTTAATGTACAGGAGTAAAGGAAGCCGATGTTTATCTAATTTGTGTTTTGCCAAAAAGCTATGTAGACTGAATGTGTGCCCCCACACTGCATTTGTTTGTTGAAATCCTAACCCCAATATGATGGCATTTTGAGGTAGCGCCTTTGACAGGAGATTACACTTGTACAGTAGAGCCCTCCTGAGGGGGATTAGCACCCCTATAAAAAGGACACCACAGAGCAACCTGGCCCTCCTTCTGTCACATGAGGAGAGAGTGAGGTCTGCCCTGATCTTGGACTTCCCACCTCCTAAACTATGAGACAGAAATATTTATCATTTGAGCCATCCAGTCCAGGGTATTCTGTTACAGCAGCCCAAATTGAGGATAGTACAGAAAAATCTAGAACTGGGCAAACACCAATGCTCCCCTCTTGGATTTTTAGCAGGTGGGTGGAAGTTGGCCAGGGTGCCTGGCACAGACACAGATCTACCCTTTTACTGCCTATGCTCTTTAGTGTTGACAAGAATTGTGCAAAGAAAGCAAATTAACCACCCAAGCATGTAGGAAACAGAGCCCACAAGTGGGCAACTGAGGCAGCTCTGGGGTGAATTCTGCATGGTGCAGGGGCTGGGTGCCCTTGGTGATGTTACTCCCTGTCTCTGAGCCGTGTGTTCTGTGACGGTGACGTGGGAATGACAGTGAATGCATCTCCCGGGACTGTTGAGAGGAACCTTAGCCAGAAGTTGCACCCCTGTGATGGCAACTCAAATGCGTTAGTCTGGAAGCCAGAGAAAGGCTTAAGGCGCTGGAGCTGTTTATTTCCCGGACGCACCCATCTGCACTCCTCTGTAACTGCCTCTGGCGCCATCAGCAGAAGTTTCTCAGGTCCAGGACACTCTGTCTAAACAGTTTACATCCTCGGGCTGCTTTTCAGGAGTGGCCCCAGCAGAGACTCAGAAGGAACCATCACCTCATTCCCCCCAGGTTTGTGGAGGAGGAGGAAGGTCTAGCTAACAGCAATGAAAAGCAGCATGTGGTGCTTGATCGTCCCCTCACAAGGACCTTTGGCCTCCAGTCCCAGGAATGGATGAAGAGAAACGGAAGAACAGAGTTCTGCAGGTTGTTCTTGATGCCGCACCACAAGGCTTTCCCAGTCCACTGACGGACAACTAACAGGAATGAAAAATATTTTCCCCTCCTCCGTTCCCTCTCTGTTCCGTCCTTCTTTCCTTTTCTCTTCTCATCCCCTAATGCTTCTTCAGATTATCCTGATGCAAACTCTCCCTCAAAGAACGCTGGTTTTTCCCTTCCCTTAAAACATTATTCTAATAATAACTTTGAAGCAGAAAGTCCAAGGCCAAACAAACTTTATTCTTTTGAATGAAAGATTATTCATGCTTGCAGAAAAAAGCAATCAAATGCCCCATATGTGTTTATAGCATAAAGCCTTCCACTGTATTTCCCTCAAATCCATTTTCTTAGAGTGACCATCACTAAACAGTTGATATGCATCCTTCCAGACATGTAAGAATGGAACACTTGAGAGGTATATAGTAATTGCCTACAATGTTCTGGGCAATGTGCTGGTGTTGGGTACTCGTATACATTTCATGTGCAAATTTTTGTGTATGCATCATATACACTGGCAAAAATAAGATATTTACTAAATGTCTCAAGGAAGTACTTAGAAATAATAGGCATACATATTATGATTTTTCACAGCTACATAGTACTCTATTGTAAAGATATGCCACAATATTTATTCCTTGCCTTATGCTATTTAAAAAATCATCCATATTTCCTTTGCTTATAGAATGTTGAACAACCAACTTCAGATATTGTGCTTAAGCAGCAACTGGTGTAGTTAGGACAGAGGTGCTCTAGGGTGTCCCTCGTGTGAGAGTAGAAGGACTGCCAGCTGCCCATCAGACCTCCTCAACAGGTTCTGCAGCAGCAGCAGAACCCCAGTGTACAGGAACCCAGCCAGCGAGTGACATGGCTGAGTGTACACCCCAGCCCTCTAGCTTCAAAGCTGCTGCTGCCAGACTCCCATAACCCTTTGCGGCCCTCAAAGCCGCTGTGTTGACATATGCACATGGTGCTATGGTATTATCCTGCCTCCACCCCTGCTTTGTATAGTGAATTGTGTAGGCTATCAATTAAACAATGGGAAAGGGACGGGGAAATAAACTTTAGGTCATGAAATGGGAAGCCAGGAACAACTCTGTATGTGTGTGTGTGTGTGTGTGTGTGTGTGTGTCCTGGGGTATGGGCAGGAAGTCCCCTCTCTGTTCTTAAGGCCCCAAATGCTGAAGTTTTAAACAGCTGCAGGAGATAGTAAGAAGCTCTGGCTCCTTGTTCCTCCCTATTATCTGCCCGGTCTCTTGTCTGAAGCTCCTCATGAATAAGCAGATTTCACAGGCAAGTTCAGTCTCTTGCCCTGCAGCGTGGACACAGCAGTCACGGGGGGTCTGGGGCATTTCTCAGCAGTTTCCTGGCCGGGTGGTGAAAGCAAAAATGTAGCCTAATTGGTCCCTGGCTCTTTCTAGTGAATGAAAGAGGTTTCTGTTTTAAGAAATGAAGTGACTTAGCTGTTGATTCACTGCCCACAGGGAGATTTCTGAGCACAGGCTTCCTAGCCTCCGCAGAGATTTGCATATGACTTCCACTTCCTGCTTCGGAGCCTGTTCTACAACTTACCTGGCCCTGGACAGGGCGAAGGAGGTCCAGAGCCACCGAGGTGGTGAGGTGGTGACAGAAGCAGAAAGCGTGACCACCCCCAGCCCATCTGTCTGTCTGTCCCTGGTGGGTCTAAGGTGAGTGATCCCGCCTCGTGTGATTTCTTAACACTGACCCACTTTCTAACACACTGTTTTCTCCTTGCTGAAATGTTCTCCCTGATTTCCGTAGCCTTTCCGTCTCTTCCCACATTTTAACCTGTTTTTATGGGAGTCAGTGTGGGCTGAGGAAGTGATAGTAAGTTTCTGCAGCAAGAGTGTGCTGCTGGATTAAAGGTTTCAGACCACAATGCTGAGTTTTAACTCTTTGAAGAGAGGAGGCCCACATGCCGAAGTGATTTCAGGCTGCTTGGGAACTGTTCTTTTGGGCTCGGTTCCCTGCAAGTTTTAATCAAGAATTGAAGTTCCCCTTTTCCAAGGAAGAACCCACCATGGCAAAGTCTTAAGGACCTGGCTTGCAGCTCCGGGATGTCAGCGACAGAGTAGGGAGGACAGCTCCCAAACTTTCTGTATTCTGGTTTGAGGCAGAAGGGAAGAAGATCCAGGCTTCCAGCTGAGCTCCGGGCTGGGTGTGAGCCTTCCCTGGCTCCGCTGCAGCTCTGCCCTCCTCAGACCTTTGCTGGCCCTCGACACAAGTGGAGAAATGCTTTATTCATCTTACAAGCTGGTCTTGTGACATCCAGGTTCAAGGTGGACTCTTCCAATAGGTAGATTTTGTTTTTTAAGTAAGAGAAAATAGGCCAAGTAATTTAAAAGAAGACAGGAAACTTGGATCCAAGTTTTCGCTCTACTTTGTGTGGTTTGTCTCTTACACAATTCACTTTGGCTCCCCTGGGCCTGAATTTCTTCATCAGTAAAGTGTGTGTATTAGCATGATTATTTCTAAATTCCTTTCTAACCAAAGGAAGGTGGGCAGAGCCTTCATGGGTGGTCTTAGAAGACTTGTTTTGCTTCCTGGTTATTACCTATATAAATTTTACCTTCTGCTTCTAGTTGGTAAGCTTCTGGAGGAAAAGGACTTTGTTTCTTCATACTTTTCTAGGCGTCACAATCTCCCGATGCCTCAGTCTCTCCCACATGAGCATCTTTGATTTGTGTTTCACTCATCTGCTCTCTAGGTCAAAGGTAAAGTAGCAGCCAGGCTAAGAAGTGGGAAGAAGCTGGGTCTGCGGGAGGCTGCCTAGAACTGAGATGTCATTATTGGTTCTAGCCAGACAGGAAGAAATGGGGAGGTTCTTGAATTAATTCTTGTCCCATTTGGGTTTCCCAGGAAGTAGCAACCACCCTATGCATTTGCTCACAGAGTCAAAGGACACTGGAGAACTGGCAGCTCAGTGTGCCAGAGATCAGAGACTGACTGAGCTGGAGCAGGAAATGTCTGTCTCCCACTGGGAGCAGTGTGTGGGGCCTTTAATGGGAGGGGAAAGGAAACAGCAAAGCACAACCTCACACTGTTAGCCCAGTCTCATTTTTAGACAGCAGATTCATGAAATCTTTAACCTTTTCTAAACCACTGCTTTTTAAAATTGTGTGACTGTTTCTTTGGGGCAGTTTCTCACTGTCAGTACAGTTCCAACAGGCTCTGGCTGATTGGGACGGGCCAGTTCAGGGCTTTGGGGACTGCTGAAGTTTTGTGGACTATCAAGGTCCTGGTATGGTCTTTGTCATGTTTTCTGATGTTTCTGTCTAGTCCTCTGGGATAAGAAGACTGGCATGTCATTGTGTTTCACCTGTGGTGAGTTCCTGTTTTTATTTTCAAATACAACGCATCATTATCTGAGATCAAGCAGCCTAGTGTCCACTTCTCAAGGCCTGGCTGCTGGCATTCTCAGTCGCACTGCGACCCCCAGTCCTTCGTGCAAGTGTCAGGAGGAGAATGCCACCCACCATTTTGCTCTCTTCATTGCTGTGGTGGGCTAACATGGAGTGGGATCTGGTCACGTGTCACAGTGTTGCAGGGAAGCTTCCTGACTCAGGGATCTCATTTTCTGAGTGTGCAAACAGAAAATGTTACAGCCAGGGCTGAGGAGTTAGTGTCTTTCAAATGTTCTGAAAATTAAAAGAGGAGAATCATATTTGCAGGCATTCTTTAACAGGCACTCAGAAAGATAGACGGTGGTGGGGTAGTTTGTCTAAATTAGATCGATGTTTTACACATCGCAGAATGGAAATCTCAGTTATATCCTGAATTCAAATCATTTTTCTGCTGCAGGCAATTTTAGATTAGCCTTTAAAAACATACATATATCAACTGCAGGCAACTGCTGCAGAAAAAAAGAGCATAGATGAGGCACATTAAACTTTAAATTCCTTTCAGAGCCAACTAAATGACCCTTAATGTTTGATCACATTTCCTTATCAAAACAATCCAGCAGGCCTTCTGTGAGAAAGCATCTATGTGAGAGATGGAATCAAGATGCTGTCTCCCAGGCCTCTCCATTTCTTCCCAGTGCATTGTCACCAGGCTATTTTTAGTTCATGAAACCCAGGCTGTGCTCCTCCCTGCAGCATTCGGTCTCATACCAGCCAGCCTCCCACAGCATTCGTGTACTCAGTGGCCTGGCTGCTCGGCTTGCTCTGCCCGTGTGCATGCTATGTACACTTAGACGTGCACAGGCCTTCCTGGAGATCAGGAGCTGTACACATATGATTAAGGGTGGCCGTGCACACATGCAGTAACCTTTGGAGCTGTGACGATTTGGATTGGTTCCCTGGAGAGGCAGCTAGAACCAAGCACATGGGCAGGGGTGGGACTGGCTGGAGCCCTGCCTGTGTGCCCCCTTCAGCACCCCAAGAATGTGGGCTACTTAGTGTTTTGGCAGGTCCCTCAGGGAAGAGGGAAACTCAGCTGTCTTCTGCCATCTTCTTGTTCTGTGCCCAGGGTTCTCTTTTTCCTTTTTTCTCTCTCAGGGTCAACAGGTTTCTTCATGTCCCTGAACTTTCTTCCCCCTCAGAGCTGTCTGTCCATACTCTTCCTGCCACTGGCTTAACCCGTCCCACTCTGGCCTTTTACCCAGATTCAAGCTTTCCCTTCCTTTCAGCGATGCTTCTCATACCTGTAACATATACAAGCTACAAGTCAAGCAAGTCTCCTACACCAGCAAAGGGCAAACAAACCATTTCCCTCAGGCTTTCCCCACTGCCCTCACTACTTTTATCCTCCACAACCATCTCTGCCTTTCCATCCCTTCCTCTCCTTTAGTCTTTGTGGAGGACTGAATTAGGGATCACAGATGTGCTCAGGGAAGCATCTGAAAGGAAGAAACAAAACAAACAAGCAAAACCAGACAGTGACAAGAGAAGAACACGGGCCGGCTTGCAGTTGTTCTGAGGTTTTCACCAGCTTCCAGGGTGGCAGGCAGTCTGTTCCCATTCATCCGTCTCCTCCCAACGCAGCTCGCGGAGTCGGAGGGTACATTTCCTCCAGATGGGCAGTTCCACCACACTGGGTGCTGCCTCACTGGGACTTCCTGTTCAGAGTTATGTCCAGGGATGGGACACTTTCCCCTTGTCCCACTACTCCAAATCCTCTTACAGCCTAGTAGAAGAGTCCCTAGACAGGAACGTTCTGCAAGTAAACTTAGAAGCATTTGTTCACTGAGTTTGAATCTGAGTCAAGTAGTTCATGCCAAAGCAACCTTGGAAAGGGGTTCATGCCTGTCATTCCCAGCTACTCAGGAAGCAAAGGTGGAAGACTTCAAGTTTAAGGCCAGCCCGGGCAACTTAGACCCTATCTCAAAATAAAAATTTACAATAAACAGGACTATTTAAAATAAAAAGAGATGTAGCTCAGTGATGAATGCATTCTTAGTATGTGCAAGATCCTGGATTCAATCCCTAATACAACATTTGGGCTGTAAGCAAAGAACATGAACATGTATACAGATTTTAGCTCTTAAATTCATGCCTTAAAACACATTAAAAGAAATTAATCCCAGGGAATTAAATAAGACCTTGAAATCTGTAATTGAAAGTATCAATCCAAGTTAGATCCGAGGAGCCTCCCAACTGTAAATGTGTATATTTATGTGTTTTATTTACCTGAAATAGTCATGCTGTGAATTTATAGGACCCTTCAGCCCTATTATTAATCCCCCTAAAATGCTAAAAAACAAAACAAAACAAATCTACAAGCAGTTGGTGAAACCAGCCCTGATTAGCTAATGTGGTTTATTAATTACTCAGGCTGCTCACTCCTATCCTTCCCCTGGCCCTCGCACTGCTATTTGTCTTCTTGCAGGGAGAGAACACCTTCATTAAGTCCCAGCTGTCCTTGCCTTGGAGGTGTCTCTGGAAGATATCCCCTCTTGAGATGCATCACCATTTATCATCGCCCTTTGTTTGTGCTCTGTCAACAAGTTTTCAATTTATTTTGAATTCAGTTTATGATTAAAATTTAATGAGATTCAATCAACTGCTTTTCTCGAATCAAGATGCCTCTGCAGTGTCATCCGTATCTCCTGTTGTAGTAGCATGAAGGAAGCTTGTTAGCCTGGCGATGCTTTACAGGACACAGGTGACATGTGCCCACGCCCCTCAGTGTCAAGGTGAATTGTTCTGAAGGTTTTAGGGGTTCTGCATTTCCTCATCCTGCTTCTGTCTCCAAAATAACTGTACTTACCTGTGTTCCCAGCTGGGATACAAGCAATTTAGTGCTTAGGCTCTAGGTCTGGACTACTTGGATTTGAATCCCAGCTCTGCTACCTAATGACCTTGTGTCCTTGAGAAAGCTACTTATCCTCCCTGTCTCAATTTCCCCATCTATAAAATAAGGCCAACGGTAGTACCTATCAGTGGGTTACTGTGAGGATTAGATCATTTATTGTGTGCACAACACTTGGAATGATATTTCACACAATATTCATTCAACAAATATTAACAAATGATTGATTATAAGGACAAAGTTTAAGTAGATTCATCTCAGGTGTGCATTTTGATATATCAGCATAATTTACTTTAGTGCTTGATAAACTATAACTGTAGAGTCAAACGTAGCCTGTGATCCATTTGTTTATACACTGTCTATTGCTAAGAATCATTTTAATATTTCATTTATTCTCTTATTTAGCAGTAACTTATTAGCTCAAACACAGGTAAAGCTATATCCCAGCCCTCATTTTTACATTTAAAACGTGAAGAATAAGGAGAATGGGGAGAGAGGAGGAGAAGGAGGAGGCCGGGAGGAGGGTGGGGAGGGGAGGGGGAGGGGAACGGGGAGGGGGAGGGGGAGGGGCTGGGGGTTTAGCTCAGCGGCATAAACGCCTGCCTGGCAAGTGTGAGGTTGTGAGTTTGATTCCCGGTACCAAAAAAAAAAAAAAAAAAAAAAAAAAAAAGGTGGGGGAGAAATGACAACAACCACCACAAAGCAGAATATGATATAGAGACAGGATATGGCCCATAAAACACACACTATTTATTGCATGGCTTTTTGTAGAAAAAGTTTGCCAACCCTGATCTGTATGGTTTAATTGAGAGCTAGATCTATCTTCTTCAATCACTTTGTCACTTTGGAAAAGCTAACATATGTAAGCCTTTGTAAGATAGGAATGGCAAAATGTTATCTCACTTTGCCTGTAAGCCAGGCTTGTTTTAAGAACCAAATTAGATGAGGTGAGTCAAATGGGCTGGAAATAACTTTTTGGTTAAAAAGATATGGTTTTCACACATCCATTTCTTTTGAGACAGCGGGGGAATAAGATCAGAGTTCTAAAGCCAAACTCTCTCTGCAGTAAACAATAACATAGCCCTTGGCTTTTTTTGTTTTTTGTCTTTTTTCTTTTTATCGATACTGGGGATTGAACCCATGACTGCCTGGTTTTGCAAGGCAGGCGCTTATGCTGCTGAGCTAAATCCCCAGCCCCAATGGCCCTTGGTTTTAAAGAGCATGATATAGGCGAAGCTCTTCAGCTGTTTAAACTTCTTTTATCCTGGTAACACCCTTAGGGGGCAAGTACTGCTATGTCCCCCATTTTGCAAATTAGAAAAATGAGGCCCAGGGGCTGGGGATTTAGCTCAGCGGCATAAGTACCTGCCTTGCAAGCAGGCAGTCGTGAGTTCAATCCCTGGTACCGATAAAAACGAAAAAGACAAAAAAAAAAAAAAAAAAAAGAAAAAAGAAAAATGAGGCCCAGAGAAGTTAAGTAATTTTGTGGAGGTCATACCTCTACCAATGCAGATGGTAGAGGAAAGTACTTAAGCCTCTGGAATCTGAGTTCAGAGCCAGTGTATATAAGCGCTGGGTATGTGTTTTCTCACATTAAGGAAATAGGTACTGATTTAAAGTAAGGTTGTCTGGAAGGCAGAAGCATAGTTAACTGTGAACATGAACATTAAGTCTGTAAATGTGTGATCTGAGAGAGGCTAGCAAACCACCGAGGCCAGGATGAGCATCAGTGAACCTACAGAAAGGGAAACAGGCCTCATAGGCGGGAGAGAAGTTTTCTGATGAACCATGAGAACCAAAAGGTAGTATTGTGAGGAATGAAAAGGTCTGTTTTGAGACACTAAACATTGAAAGCAGAATGTGCTAGAGGAGGTAAAGGATGATGGGAAAAGACAAGAGCAGAGTTGGAGGCAGTACACAGAAGTTGACTAGTTCTATTCAGGAAGAATGGGGGGAGGTGTGGGAAGGACTGTGAAAGGGACACCCTTATCACATAGGATGTGAAGACTGCTGACACTGGGTAAGATCTGATCTGCAGAATCAGGCTCCTGCGGTGGGGGAGGGTAGAGGAACTGACGGAAGGTCTCAAGCTTGAGGAGGTAAAAAGGAAGCCAGTGTCAGAGACTTGTGGAAAGACAAAGAGAGATTTGCAGAAGGAACTTAAGGCCAGAATGGTATATGGCCCAGACTGCCTTAAGGACTTGGTGCTTGGCAGACATTTCATAAATATTTGTAGGAAGAAAGAGGAGAAAGGTCATCCATGTGGCTGAAGTTTAAGAAGCTTGAGGACTTGGCCCAGCAGGTCCTCCTTGCTCTCCCCAACAGAGCCTGACATTCTGACTCTTGATGATCCTTCCTGCCACACAGATCTGTCTCTGCTCAGAAATAGGTGTCAACAGTTCATTCACTCAACAAGTCTTTATTGGGCACCCAGTAGTGCCAGGTACCATTTATAGGTGCAGAGAGTGTCACTGTCAGCAGAACAGTCAAGCATTTTGCTTTCCTAGCCTGGCATGGTTGTGCATGCCTGCAATCCCAGCACTCGGGCAGCTGAGATAGCATCACCACAAGTTCAAGGTCAGTTTGGGCTACATAGTGAGCTCAGAGCTAGCCTGAACTACACAGTGAGACCCTGTCTTCCAAAAAATGATGCTTTCCTGAGATTTATGCTCTGGAAAGGAGAAAGGGAATAAGAAAACAAGGAATTAATTGGATTATTTGTGTTTATAATACATGTTTGAGTGGTATGTCATATGGTGATAATTGTTAGAGAGGAAGGTAAAGCAGGGAAGGCAGTATGGAGTGTAAATGTTTTAGAGGGTGCCATGGAGACCTCCCAAGAAGCACAGCTGAGGAAAGACTAAGGGGAAAGGAAGAGAGCTATGCAGACATGAAGTATTTTAAGAAACAGGAAGGCCCTTAAACTGAATCACAAATAATTTGAAGGTAGGAATAAAGTTTTCTCTGCCTTCAGAAATATTTGTGATCAGCTTTTGCTGTGTAGTCTTTTATACTTCTCGACTGTGATAGTGGCCATAAAAAGTAAAACAGTTTTAACTGAGCTTATGCCCCAGAAGGGGGATGGGCAGCACACAGTTGAACACGCAGTCGGCTCTGATTATTTGCTGTTTTGAGTATTTGGTACCTCAGATCTTCTATTTTGACTTGTAGTGATTATTTTTTTTTGACTTGGTAGTGATTATTAATCCTATCATTTTACTAAGAGATTGTTCACTGGTGTGCCAGGAAAGGCCATCTGTTCCTTTTCAGGCCATTTTTAAGTAACCACAGGCTGGACCTCAGGTTCCAGTTATGTGAATTGCCTGCATTTGTCACCTTTCACATTAGCTTCCTCCAAGCCCCCTAGAAGCCCTCAGGTACTGAAGACAAATTTGCACTTTGGTTTTGGGGTACACTTCTCAAGTATTCACATTCCAAAACCCAGGAAGACTGTAAACCGTTGTACCTGAAGGGTGAGCAATGGAAATGAACTGCAGGCCAGGAGAGAGCTGAATTTGGTCCTCATTAGTCGGCTCCCTTTCCACATCACTTTGTCCTGCCGCTCAGCTGCAGGCTCCCAGACGCAGGCAGGAGATTATACAGCACGCTTGGCCAGCCCTGGAGAAAATGTTTTTTTCCTGACCAGCTGAAGAGCATGTCATCAGGCATATCCAATTTCACAGCTGTAGACAGACTGCAAGGAAGAAGGGGAAACAATAGTGGGCATTTCTGAATGGTATAAGGTCAGAATATATATGGTTGGTAGATCCTTAGTCATTTTTACGAAGTCTACTCAACAGAGGGGCTGAGGTCTGTTTTCTGCAGAGCCACCAAGAGGGCAAGAGACTGACAGCATCTGGAAAGCAGAGGGCGAAGGAACAGACATGGGAAAAACAGAGGCCGACCAGGAGTTGAGAGCTGGCATTTCATGTGGTGCTTGAAGACAAGGCAGCAGGGATTAGGCTTGATACCAAGTGGGGAAAGAGAAGTGTCAAAGGGTATTCAGTTGATTGGGAGGGGCAAAGTTATCTTTATAGAGACAGTTAATTTTCTTTTTTTTAAGATAGGGTTTCACTGTGCGGCCCAGCCAGCCACTTACCTACCTCACCCTCCAAGTAGCTGAAACTCAGGTGTGTGCCACCAGGCCTGGCTTCCTATCGGTAGTTAGTGTACCTCAATAGGGCCTGGGAGTGTGATAGAGCTCCTACCTCTCATGCACAAGGCTCTGGACTGGATCCCCAGCAGTGCAAAAAGAAGAAAAAAAGAATTGGCATCCAACTCTGGCCTACCTCTGCAAAAAGAGAAGCATTTTTAAAATGCATTCTGTCTTGTTCTTGTTAGATTGGGTACAGGGTGCAAGAAAAAGTGGATTCATGTTCAAACGCTGTCTTAGAACAATAATTTATGTACTTTGTGACTCCAGGCACAGTAAGCCTTCAGTAAACGTTTGTGGTTGAAATGCTGTGTGGATCCAAAGTAGGAATTTAAAAATCCACACACAATCCCTTTTCTCTTTCTAGTATTTGAAGTAGCTATGTACAAAGGCCTTGCATAGAATAAACCTCAGGCCTTTTCTTTCTTTTTTACACTCTTGCTCTTCTGCTACGCTTGCTTTGCAGACTTCTGCAGGCCTCAAGAGCCTGCACTTCGCCTGCCCCGCAGCCCTCTCTCTGGCCTACCCTCTGTTTCTCTTTGTTTCTTATGTTAATTAGCTTGATTTACTCTTCATGCAGTGCATGCATATATCAGAACATCATTTTGTACCCCACAAACATACACAATTCTAGTAGTTCATTTGCAATAAATATTCTGATGAGCTGGTAAACTTAATTTCAATTTTATTTATCTGTAATATGGTACATATTACTGGAGTATGGTGTATCACTTCAACACAGGCATACAGAATTTACTGATCAAATGAGGGCAATAAGCACTTCCCTCTCCTGGTCATTTCTGTTTGTATTCTTTCTCTTCCAGTTACTCGTATGCTGTGCAATAGTCACTGGGAACCAGACTCCTCCGTCGTGTTAGAGAACACAAGCACTGATTCCTCCTCTCAACCACGTTCCAGTGTGTGTTTTCCAACGTTTTCTATCCTACTTCCCGCTGTTCTTCTCATTCCCAGCAAAAACAGTTTATCCGCTAAATTTTATTTCCATGAGGATTCTAGAGATTCAGGAGCTCAGGCTGTCCCACCTGCTTGGCTGGGTGGCCCCAGATGTAGATGCAGAGCCTGGGGGTGAATTGACCAGTGTTCACTGCGAAAACAGTAAATAAGATCCAGGAGTTACAATGGATATATAGTAAAAGGGAAAGAAACTGCTCAAAGGGAAATTTTATTGTTTGATCAGTCTTGCAGGCCTGTATCTGGTAACTTGAACAACTATTCTGAAGATAACAATATGTAATATAACAACCACTGTTAAATTCCTATCATATTGTTTTGAAATCCTCTATCACTATTGTCTGTGGTTATTGTTATTTTGCTTTTGTTGTTGTTTTTTGATAGTTTGTTTGCTTCTTGATTTTTCTATTTTTTTCTTTTTAAAATAAAAAAAGGGAGACCTGTGTCCCCTCTGTTTTTCTTTAAGCCAGGCATCCCATTTAACATGAAAGAAGGAAGTTTGTTTTCTTTCTCATTCTTTTAGGTTCATTAAAAGATCTATTATATAAGGGCTAGGGATTTAGCTCAGCGGCTTGCAAGCAGGCAGTCGTGAGTTTGATCCCTGGTACCGATAAAAAGGAAAAAGACCAAAAAAAAAAAAAGATCTATTATATAGAAAAGAACAACCTTGCATGGGCTGAGGGCTGGCTACTGGCTGGTGGCTAGTTGCATGAGTCTTGCTAATGCAACTATATCATAAAGTAGATGGCCAAGGCTACCTTCACTGCAGGCATAATGCCCAGAGGAAAGTAAGTCCTCCAAATAACTGTAAAGTTGTTCAGTGGAAAATGTCACTATAACCTTTTTGCAATGTGTTTTAAACTTGTGCTTTCTTTTTGTCTTAAAAAAATTGTATTTACTTTTTAAATTAAACAATATCAGATGAAGCAAAATTTTTAAAGTTCAAAGAATACAACTCTCCCTTCCCCTTAATCCATCTTCAGAGACATCCAGTGTACCAGTACCCTTGCACGGTTCACATGTGTTAGGTATATAGAAAAGAGAAGCCCACAAAAAATGCACTTTCCCTTCTCCTTACTTTTGTTATACAAAATAGCAGCAAAGTGTACACACTGTTCTGCATCCAGATTTTTTAGTTTTTGACACCTAATAACATATCTTGGGGGCTGGGGATTTAGCTCAGTGGCATAAGCGCCTGCCTTGCAAGCGTGTGGTCGAGTTCCATCCCCGGTATCAATAAAAAAAAAAAAAAAAACATATCTTAGAGTCATTCCACATCAGTTACTAAGCTTTATTTATTTTGCATTCCAAACACACCCAGCGGCCTACAGTATGATAATTTCTCTTTCCTCTATACTCAGCAGTTGATTTTCATCCATGTTTGCCCCTTGCTGGTCAATAATGCTGTCACAGGATAACTTGTAGTCATCTTTCTTTGACTGCCTTTCAGATGAAATGTTTTAGTAACCATTAGTGCCTTTACATAGAGGATCAACAAACAATTTTATGTGATTGGACTCTGCAAGCACAGTGGTATTCCACTACTAATAGTTTAAACCACACTCTGAATGAGGTCCCTTCAGGTCATAATGTGAGACTCTTTAAGACTGATCTGTCTTCTGAGGCTATGACATGTTTTCTCTTATTGCAGAAACTAGAATGATCCGAAGCATTCCTGTGGAGGTTGATGAATCAGAACCATACCCAAGCCAATTGCTGAAGCCAATCCCAGAATATTCTCTGGAAGAGGAATCAGAACCACCTGCTCCAAATATAAGAAACATGGCACCCAATAACTTGTCTGAATCTGACCCCCCTCACTGTGCCTCAGGAAACTTTTCTAAGGCTCACCCTCTCCTGAAACTTGCAAATCACCAGTGGCCTGTGTCCCAGCAGGTGACCTGCCTACGAACTAAAGTCCTAGAGGAGAGTGAAGACAGTTTCTTCAGGAGGCACCCAGATCCCGGCAAAGATTTTCCTGTGGGCTCCTCTACCACCAGCCAGCCTGAGTCTGAGACTGTGGTTTCAACCCTCCCCCCAGAGCATCAGTTTTCACTTATGGAAAAACGTAATCCATGGCTGAGATCTCAGCTTTCAGCAGCTTCTCCTGACACTGGCCATGACTCAGAAAAATCAGACCAAAGTTTACCTAATGCCTCAGCAGACTCCTCAGGCAGTGGCCAAGAGACAGAGCCACAGCCACAGCTCCACAGGAACCGAGTAGCCCCAGATCTGCCAACGATAGATACGGGATATGATTCTCAGCCCCAGGATGTCCTGGGCATCAGGCAGCTGGAAAGGCCCCTGCCCCTCACCTCTGCGTGCTATCCTCAGGACCTCCCTGGCCCACTTAGGTCCAGAGAGTTCCTGCAATTTGAAGCTCAGAGGTATCCAGCATATGTACAGATGCTACCTCCCCATCCTTCCCCACATGCTCCATGGAACTATCACTACCGTTGTCCTGGAAGGCCCAATCACCAGGTACCATGTAAGTGATCATTTTTGCCTCTAGACATTCTGGGCTGGGTGATCAAGGAAACAAGACCTCACATCAGTGCCCCGTGTCATGAGACCAACACAGCTAGGGCATATATAGTGCAGGGAGGCATTCTGCTTCTCACAGAAATTCGCCATGGGATTAAGTTGCAAGGAATCTTAAATGTGTTTCCTTAGCCCAAAGCCTGGCCCATTTGGAACCTCCTTCTTTAGGAGAGTTTAAGGATGAAATAGATTCTTCTGTAAAGGTTAGCTGAACTGAAACCTGCTTAGAAGCACAGAGATGACCCAAATAATTTCTAGAAAACTCCTCATTGTAATTCTTGGGTTTCATGCTTCTTCCCTATCTTACACTTGCCCGGGAAAGAGGTGGGGCATGGGTACATTGCCTGCTCGAGTGCCCCATCAAGGAATGGGTGTGGTGGTAGACTTCCTTAAGCATGAGTCACTGAGAACTGAATGGTGGCAAGACCAGGGCTCTGTTTATTTCTAAGTGATTTCCAGATTAAAAGGGAATAATTTGTGAGCACAATACTATAAAGTATCTTTACCATGTTTATTATCCATATGTAAAGGTAATTTTTCTGATTGTAGTAGTAATGTGTCATTACTTCCCCAATTGAAATATGCCCAAAATTTAAAGAAAAAAGATCTGTATTTGTATCACCTAAATATAAGTCCCTAATATTTTGACATATTTACTTCTAATGGTTTTTCTCTTTATATATATAGTTGATATAAAATTAAAACAATTTCCAATGACATGGAGTGTACTTCTTTAGCATCATTCCAAAGTGCTGCACTGTATTTCATCAGATAGATGGACTAAATTTTTTTTTTTTTTTTTTTTTGGTACCGGGGATTGAACTCACAACTGCTTGCCAGGCAGGTGCTTAAGCCGCTGAGCTAAATCCCCGGCCCCTAAATTGTTATTAACCTATTCTTTGTTGTTGGACATTTCCAGTAGTCTCCAGTTTTCTGATACAATAAGCAATGCTATGACAAACATCATGCACAATAAGTTTTTAAACCTACATTTCTGATAACTCCTTAGATGAATGTGCAGAAGTGTGAATAGTTACTCAGAGGCTTTGTGATGCTAGGTTCCATGCAGTTGTCTTTAGCTACTAACAGGAGAAAGCCTGATTGGGGTAGACAAAGCGAGCACCGACTCAGTGTAATAATGAGGGTCCTAGGAAGATCTTCCCACTGGAAAGTACTTTTCCTGTCGAAGCTTGAGATGGTGCCATTAGTAATTCAGAGGTAAGCAGTGCCCCTCGGGCATCTCCTCTAATAGGCGAAAACGCCCAGCTGGGAACACGTTTTGACTGTAATACCTCGGGACCTGCTTTCTTTCATACGTTCACCTTTTCCTTGCTGTTTTATTTCCTTTTATTGAAAGTGATTGGAAGGGGAATGTTTGGGTTTCTAGGAGTGCAAAGAGGTGATGAAAGGCCGACAGAATTTGGATAGAGGATGGGAATAAGTCACGAAAGTTATACAAACAGATAATGTGCATATGAAATGAAGCTCAACACCACTAGATTTAAGAAATGAAAACATTTCATAGATAACTTTCCCTTGATTAGAGGGGCAAAAATAAAAACCTCAGACAATGCTTTGTATTAGTGGGGTCAGAAGAAAATTAATACTCTCATCTACTCTTGGTAGGAATATAAATTGATGCAACCTCTTGGAAGACAGTTTCATTACATATCAGACTTTTACAGTCCCTCCTTCTTTAACCAACAATCTCACATGTAGTATCCATCCATGTAGAAACAGTAAACAAGCATATAAAACTATGTGTACCAGAGAATTTATTAAAGCATCGTTATAGTAGAGTGAAAATGAAAACAACTACATTACCTATTGATAAAAGGGTTAAATAAGTACAATGGTCTCTGACTTGAGATGTTTTGACTTTACAGTGTGTGCAGTGAATAGGAGTTTTGTGGTTCAGAAATCAGAGTGAACTGCAGCTCAGCCACAGGATCATGAGGGTAAATGACTATTCTACACTGTATCGTGCCGCTAGGCTCTGATGTTTTGGAAGTTAGGGGCATTAAATGGATTTTTGACTTGATATATTCAATGTACAATGGGTTTATTGGGACACAGCCCCATCATAAATCAAAGAGCACCTGTAATGTCTGACATTTATACAATGATCTACTAGGCTGCTGATACAAAGCATAAAACACATTCTGACATAAAAAAGGTAAAAAAGGATACATGTGTGATATATATATATATATATATATATATTTTTTTTTTTTTTTTTTTTTTTTTTTTTTTTTTTTAAATATCCAGGATTGTGCTGGTAACAGCAATGGGGAGGGGAGAGGGGAGGAGTGCAAGGATTTAAAAGGACAAGGATATTTTCCTTTTAACGTTATATACCTTTATTTAAATTTTATAGCAGTCATTATTTTCATTTAAAAAATCAGGGAATGTTAGAAATATAAAAAAGAAAAAAAGAATTAAAACCACACAGAAGGTGAGCTTGCCCTAGTTGATTTTGCATGTACCTTGACTCTGGCTCCCAAAAGCATCTAACCACAGTGAAGAGGTCAAGTTGCACAGTGTTTATGGCTTGTTGTAGGGCTTTGCAATCCCAGAATATTAGTGAAGATCCGGGAACAATGACCCCTGGGAAGATTGCTATGAGGATTAAGTGAGATAATATGTTAAAGCTGGCTGCTAGTAAGCCCTCAATACTAGCTGCTCTTTTTTTTTTTACATTATTTTTAAATGGACCCTCAGGCCCAGCCCTGCAGAGCACACTTCTACCTCCAGATTCTTCTTGCTGGCATGGATTTTAAGCATTCAGGGCAGGTGGACAAATGCTTAGTTTCATGTCAGGGTTATAACTGCACTTAATTGCCAACAAAACCACTTCAAAAGAGCTGTTCACCAGAGGGACGCTTGTGCTGCTGAAACCATGGCTACATAGTTGTGCAGTTTTAGAGCAGCATTACTTCCTTGCCTGTTAATGAATATATAAATAAATAATGATCACCATGCAAATAGCGTAGCTTAGCTTTTTGCAAGTTAAAGCAAAAATGGTTACTGGCCACCCCTTTTGTGTTTCAAAAAGTTTTCAAAGAAGATGAAAATGAGAAATGGAATAGCTTGTTTTGTCCTCATCCTACACCCCGAAGAGTCAGCCTCTGCTGCCTCAAAATCCTTCTACCAAAGGTCACCAAAGTAGAGTTCATGGCCATGCAATCAAATAAAACTCATAATGCAAATATATTGGTGAAAAACGAAGGAATTAACAAGCCTTTATTTTATTAGAGAAGTCCTGCTTTCTCTACCAGGGAAAATAAAATAAAGCTGTAGGGATATGCATGGAACCACAGTTCCCAAGGACCAAAAATGTGATTATCTGCATGCTAGAATGCATGCACAATTAAAGAAAGGAAAAAATAAACCAGGGAGAAGAAATAATAAAGAAAGAAGTTGCCTTGCAGGAGCCTCAGCTGCTTACAGCTGTGGGAACTCCTAGAATAGTTTATGTTGGCTATTTTGTTTCCTGGCTAACCTGATTGCATTTTATCTTGATGTCTTTTGACAACTTGAAAAATCAGATTTTATTTCCTCTCTCATAAACTCTTTTAATACCGTTCTTAATAAGGAAGAAAAATGTTGAATGCTTGTACTGATAAATGGAAAGCCTCATTTAAGATTTGGCTTACAAATTCCAAGTGACAAAAGCCTAGTATATGAAGACCCTGTGTACTCAGGCCAAGAGGGATCATAGGACTAATAAGTAATATACAGCCCTGGGTGCCCATATAGAACTGTGCAAGGTTTTCTTTTTTGTTGTGTGATTAACACCTACCCCAGAACTGAGGAGTCATCGTGCTAACAAATCATCCCTCTGTCATGTCACCCACCTTAGCCATCTCTTGCAGAGTAAACTCTCAGATGGAATTTTAGGCACTGTGGACAAGTCTGTGGGATGCTATTTTTGAGCAGTGATTCTCAAGTAGGTGGCTGCCGACTTATATCCCTAACCCTTCTCACATGCTAACTAATGTGGGTCTGTGTTTAAAAACAGACACCCACAGACTCACAGATTTCTCTCATTTCCCATTTATTTTGAGCTATTCAAAACTGTATTCTATTTATCTTTGTTCGTGAAGTGCCTAACCATAGAGATTCTATAAATATCTGTTGTATGCATAAAAAGAAATCTGTTCTCTACTTCCTGTGGAGAGGAGTGACCTGTAGTCATGAATAAAGTCTGAATGAAACTTTGGAACGCTCACCTTTAATTATCTGATAAGAAATAAAGAATGGAGGAAAATAGGATCAGAAAGCCGAACCTGTCCTTGCACTTATGAATTTATTCAACAAATATTTGCCAGGTCATTTTTAGATGCAGTACACACAGTGGTAAATGCAACAGCATGGGCTTTGTTTTCGTGCAGTTCACAGTCTACTGAGGAGACAGAAAAGAAGTAGAAATTAACAATGAAATGACAATATGTGCTATAAAGAAAAAAAGCAGGTGTTGGAACAGACACTAATACACAGGCTAGCCAGGCGTGGTGTCATGGGCCTGTGCTCTCAGCACTCAGGAAGCTGAGGCAGGAGGATTACTGTGAGGTAGAGCCAAGCTGGGCCACATAGTGAATTCAAGGCCAGCCCGAACCACAAAGAAAGACCCTGACTCAAAAACAAAGACCAAAACAAAACGAAAAATAAACTAAACTAAAACTAGACTGGACAGAGTGACTCTCTGAAGAGAAACTGAGTTGAACCTAAAGGACAAGAGGTCAAAGGAGCAAGGAGCCTGAGGATATTAAGGTACCGAAAGAAAGGCAGCGAGGCTGGAGGATGGGAAGCAGCAAGAGAATGCCGTGCTAGAGGACAGAGGATGCAAGGGCCATGCTGAGCAATCTGGATTCTATTCTGAGATCAGCTACTTTTCTAGGAAAACAGAAAGGGATTCGCAATGCTGAACAAGGAACCTTAGAACGGTATTTGTCATGCACCAAGTGATCCATAAATGTTAATCACTACTTTGTATAGTACACAGCTAAACCAGCAAGCCTTGGTCATGATAACGAAACAGAATGATTAAAGAGATAGTTCTTGCCTCATAAGGACACTTTTTACCTGGTGACTTTTGCATATAACCAGCCAAATTTCCAGACCAAACTGGTCAAGTTCCATTGACAAAAAGAAAAACTTGCTGCTGTTTTGGCCCGTGTCTGTAATCCCAGCTTGTCAATAATTACAAGGCTTGGGGCCTGGGGATTTTTAGCTCAGCGGCATAAGGGCCTGCCTTGCAAGTGTGCAGTCATGAGTTCGATTCCTGGTACCGATGAAAAAGACAAAAAAAAAAAATAATAATAATTATGAGGCTTATCACAAGTTCGAGACTAGCCTGGAAACTTACTGAGATCCTGGCTCCAAACAAAATAAAAAGGGATCAGAGAGTATCTCATCAAACAGCACTTGCTGAGTATGTGAGTCCTTGGGTTCTACCACCTGTACAGCAAAATAAGGAAGGGTCTGACTTGGTTGAACTTCTGATATTTAATATTTCTTTGTTTTAGATTATACTGTGAGTACCCTAATTTGAAAAATCAATCAGGTGCATTGTTTTTCTCTGCTCACATAAACCGGTAAAACTTTTTTTTTTACCACAGGTGGCCATTTCAGAAATGAAAGTTCAGCTAATCAAACACTTAGCCCACATGCCTCAGTGATTTTGATGATATGATTTGTTGCTATGAGACAAAAACATGTGTGCAGGAAATAATCTGCTAGAAATCATATGACCTTGATTCAAAGGCTTTTGATTAACAGCACTAACATCCGCTTTCTGGAAAAGAAACAAACCCTATGATTATTTCTTGGTAGTCCTTTTAAGCAAATAAAACATTATTAGCCCCTCATTAATGGATATGGAAAGGAAAAATGCTCAAAACACTTAAAACTTCACTTGCGTTACTTTTAGTTTCTCCCTTGGAAAAGCTTTCAAGGCCATCGGCAATTTCTCCTCTTGGACTTTGTCTTTCTCCTTACTTCAGGAGGGAGACATTGATTTTTTAAAAAATGGCACAGCAGTCAAGAAGTAGACAATCTAGGAGACCCAAGACCTAGTGCAGGCTGTGCAGTCTGAAATGGTTTCTCATCCGTGTATTTGTCAGCTTTGTGACTAGATACCCAGGCTTCACTCATTTACTGAGCTTTGTCTGTATGGTGGTGCTGTGCTCAGTGACACAGCAAGTCCTGCTTACATAAACCCCTGATAAGAAAGAAAAGAAAAGAAGCCACATGATGGTACATGCCCGTGACCCGGCATTTGGGAGGCTGAGGCAGGAGAATTATTGTGAGTTCCAGGCCAGACTACTCTACATAGTAAGTTCAAGGCCAGCGTGAACTACATAGCAAGACTTTGTTGCAAAAACAAACAAACAAAAAACAAAATCAAAGAGTGATGAGGGAAATAAAACAGAAGATAGAAGAAGGCAACTAGGTGAAAGGGTGGGCATCTTTGAACACCTGTTGCTAAACTGAATCATAAATACCAGAAGTTGGTCTATGGAAATCTAGGCAAAAGCTTTGTGCATAGGGAAGCTGGTAAATCTGGCAGCTGGAACCAGATCAGGTGGTCAAGATGAACATGGGTTTTGGTGAGCCAGTGACAATGAGGAGGAGAAGAAATGAAGGAAGGCAGAGAATCTGGTCAAGCAGGTGGATCTTTTAAGTGCAACAGTTCTCTGAAGGTTGGCTCTCCAGCTGGGTTTCTAAATGCCCTGCTCATGGAAGAGTAATATAAAAACAGGGCTGGCCCCTCCAAGGTGACCTGATGGCAGTGTCATTTTTTGTTTTTCCTAGCTGAGGCAGCAGCTATGACCTACTCTGTGCTCTGAGCTCCAACTGGAAATCTAGAAGGTTGAAAACCAAAGCCTATGTGACGTGTCTTGACCAAGGCAATAGGGTTCTCTGTGGTCCTGTCTCCCCACTCTTGGGGCTCCCAAATCCCAGTCTCCATCAGCAGTTAGCTACTGGGCTAGGCCTGGACGCATTCCTTTCTCCTCCTCCCCTTCTTTTAACTTCTGCTACTTGTTATGAGCAGGGCAATAGCACGGTAAGAGTCATGGGTCAGAGTCAGGAGACATCCTGGGTTGGAGGGGCACAGTCATTTTTGCCAAGGAAGTATGATGAGAAGGACCCATCTGATGTCGGGGACCAAGTGGACAGTAGGTTGACTGCAGAGGATGAGAGACTGACTTAGGCATATTGCTGGGGTTGCCTAACCAAGCTTCCTTGGGTCCAGACAGTGGGAAGCTGAAACCTCACACACAGATAGCTCCTGGCCTTGTACCAAACTAGGAATAAAATTCTTAGTTTCATTTGTGCCCTCTCTTTTCTAGTTCCAAACTGCCGTATTGTTTATTTGCAAGTTTTGGGGTTTTTTTGGTTGTGTGGATTTTTTTTGAGACAAGGTTTTACTATGTAGTTCAGGCTGGCCTTAAACTCACTTTGCAGCCCTGGCTCAAACTCACAGTGATCTTCCTGCCTCAGCCTCCTAAGTGCTGGGATTATAAGTATGTGCCACCACATCTGGCTTTTGCCAGTTTTATTTCACTGTGCTTCCCCACACTTTGGGAAAAGAAAGGCAAAAATAGTAATTCCATATTTAACATAGGGAAATTTCTCCTAGCCTTAGTTCCAGGGTCTTGGGAATTATAGAAGGAATGGCCATGTGAGAGAAGCTCTTCATGCTTGGCTTATCCTGAGTTTCTTATTGAAATAGGAGTCTATGTAGAGTTTTTTCAAAGTTCTTTGAGCTGTCTAATTAGAATACCCCATGACTTCCTAGTTTTTTTCATTTAGAAAAAAAGTGAATCAATTTCATAAAAACTATCAATGAAGTAGTAATACAGAAATATGGTAACTATCATGGAGTTGATAACTGATAACTGGACCTTTCCCCTGGTATCAGACAAAAATTTTCACATTAGTTTACTTCTCTCTTCACACAAAGGAACTCGTCAGTTTTCCCTGTTCTTGTCTTCACCTACAGATGACCATGATTACCCTGGAGCTGCCTACCAGCAAGTGATTCAGCCAACTCTGCCTGGGCAGCCCCTCCCCAGAGGCCTCCACCCAGTGCAGACGGTCATACCAAATTATCCCGGCCCCCAAAACCAAGTGGAGAGGCCTGCAGCGAGAGACCGTCCCTTCCCAGGGCTCCCACAGTACCAGTAAGTATGGCAGGGCTAACCGTCCAGATTCCTAATAGGAGGAAGCAGTGTGCCAATGAACAAGAGATGTATGAAAATTCTCTGAAGGCCTGCTACCCAGGTTAGTGACAGTCACACAGTGGAACACTCACTATACACTTTTCAGGTCAGAAGGAAATGGAAGCTGGTTGACAAGCATCTCTACCAGTATGTAAAGCCACTAGTGACTAGTTAAAATTTTCTTCGAGGAAAAGTCCTGAAGATGTTCTGTAATTTACATCTCCTTTTAATTTCAGATTATCTACGTGTTTGGCCCCCAAGATTGATTTTTATTATGACTAACTCCTGCTTTTAGCAAATTCTTTATATATTTAGTTCCTTCCCAGTTAAAACTATTTTTTACTTGCAATTTTAAAATTTAACTACTTACCAATAGGAAATTAAAATAACCCGTTATTTTATCTTCTAATGAAAACATTCACATGTTGAATATCATTATTGGATCTCACCTATGGTTCTTCCAGAAAAACAATCCTGGCTTTTCCTGACTTCAGTTGTCTTAACCCTATGTATCAGTGTCTCCCATTACTATAATAAAATAGCTGAAGATGGGTACTTTGTAAAGGAAAGATATTTATTTAACGCACAGCTTTGGAGGTGTAAAGTCCAAGCTCCACAGCTTCCTATGTTTGGGTTAATGGGCAAGAGGAAGAGACGAAGAGCCATTCAGAAAGCCAGAAAGGGACCAAGAAGGAATTGTTCTTTTTTATTATAAGATAGGCTCCACTAAATTGCCCAGGCTAGCCTTGAACTCACAATCCGTCTGTCTCAGCCTCCCGAGTAGCTGAGATTACAGGGCTTGCATGCAACTTTTTCAGTTTGTATTTTTATATAACTCTCTTTGTGAGAATTATCCGGGGTCCTAGGAGAACTACATCAATTCCTTCCTAAGGCAGTACCCTCATGACCTCATTTTCCCCCCAGAGGCGCCACAGGACCTCCTGACACTGCTACACTGAGGACCAGGCTCTCAACACACAAACCCCCGGGAAACAGACCACACCCAACCACAGCATCTTCTCCTCATTTCTCTTTTGACTCTTCATCAAGTTTTTTCTCTTAATTTATGGATCTAAAATGTAAAGATTCCTGTAAATGGAGCTCCTTAATTTATGACACAGAAGAAAGAAAGTAGGTGAAACATTTGTTCTTGCTCAAGTACAACCTTCACAGGTCACTCCAAGTAAAACCATTCTGTTTTTGTAGGACAGAATTAGATGCGAAGACACTATTAAAGCAGACTTTTCAGAAATATAGAAATTAATAATAAAGCTGTTTAAACAGCCCATTTTAACAGTGGCAAATAAGCTATAAGACTATTTTCCCTTTTACTGGAAAGTCCATAAGCCCTTATACTTTCTTTCCAGACAGAGCCTTTGTTTTTCTAAAACAAAAATGCATAAATTCTCAATAATAGAATTAAAGAAAATGTGATTTTACAATTGGATAATCACTTTTATAGAGGAAATATCTCAAGTTCCAAGAAAACAAAGGAACAAAGTTTAAGCATCCTTATGAATTATGAAATAAATTTGGTGCTGTATAGGGGAAGTAAGTGTAATTTTAAAAATAACTTTATTTTGAAATAATTTTAGATTTACAGAACAGTTGCAAAGATAGGGCAGAGAAACTGGTTTTGTAGCCTCAATTTAAACCTGTTGTGGTCTCCTTGATTTATTTTATCATTTTAAGATAATGAAAAATGAGTTCAGATAAAGAAGTTAATTCTCCTCTAGCTGATAATTTGAAAGAGAACTTTAATACAGAAAGTTTATTCTATCATTAACCTCTGCGATACAGTTCTTCCATGGAAGGTTTTGAATATTATCAGCCTTCACATTGCTTTAATGAGTGAGCCATCATCTTTTGTAACAACTAAGCAACTTTGGATCAAAAAGCATTTAATGCAAAAAAAAATTTATTTATATTAACAAAAATTGTAAAAGAAAATAACCTCCATAAACATTCATATTTTAGAAATACAGAATATTGAGATACAAAGGACCTTAAGAATTTTTTATTATCCTTGGGTGAAAACATGAAAGCAGGGCTGGGGATTTAGCTCAGTGGCATAAGCGCCTGCCTTGCAAGCAGGCAGTTGTGAGTTCGATCCCCAGTACCGATAAAAAGGAAAAAGACAAAAAAATAAAAAATAAAAAAAACCATGAAAGCATAACAGATAATCTACAACAATTGGGTATGGGTATATACATAAATCTGTAATCAAATCACTTAAAAGTTTTTCTGTATGATACAGTTTCAAACATAAAACAAATAATAAGCATCAATTCATGTTCTTACAACCCAGATTTTTAAATGTTAACATATGGCCACATTTGGTGCAGAATTGTTTTTGATGAAATTAAACATTGCAGTTACAATTTTAGTCTCTGTACCAGTTAGGACTCAGTTACAGAAAACAGAAACAATTCTAGCTGTTTTAGGCAGAATCAGGTGCTCAGAGAATTACTGCAGGTTAAAGGAGAAAGCTCTAGACTGGGCTTTAGGGACTGAGCAAACCTACAGAATAGCATCACCCAAGGGGCTGCCTCTTCTGATCCCCCACTCAGCAAGGTGGGGAATCCCAGAGCTGACGCCGCTGCAGCCACTGCAGCTGACGGCTCCACTCTGTGTGTGCTAGACCCTCAATGTCAAAAGGTAGATGCCCATGCCTTGCCCTTGACATTTGGGAATCTGTTCATGGGATATGGGGATGTTTCTGAGGGACACTCAGTACTCTGTGACTGCATGCAATGTAAGAGGTGTCAGAAGTATGATTTTTTACTTCCTTCTTTATTCCAAACCTCACACAACTGCATCTTACTATTCATCCACACAGAATGCTCACGGGAATACTGACAAAAAAACCAACAAAAACACCGGGTATTCCGGTGTGATGGAAATTTCTTTTAATGCTTCTAAATCAGATTTTCATTCATATATTAACAACAGAAATACTTTTAAACCTACATGGCCTTTTTTACAATTTGACACAGGATTAAATGTTATTCATCATGAGCTAAAAGTCACATCTCTTAAATCTGAAAGGCTACAGCATCAACCTATGTCATTCATCGTTCTGCTTTGCTTGCTGATGACCTTGCTTGCCCTGTGCATAGGACTTATTTTTCCAATTAGACAGTTCTTGAATCCAAAAATCAAATCCTGCTTCCTTCTCTGACCTCTAGCACAAATCCTTACATATGGCAGCCAGCTGAATTGCTTGTTGACAGAAACTCCACGGAGCATCCCTCTTTCTTTTATGGGAAATGGAAGCAGAGGAGAGAAATCATTCACTGGTATCTTTCCATGATTTTAAAAGATGTTCTGTCTCCAAGGTATGTGTTTGTAGAAAACTAAAAATTTACTATGAATGTTTTCCTTTCTAGGGACCAGCTGCATCATCAGCCACCTAACGGGACTGGAGCTCCTGAGGGGGCCTCAGAACATCTTGCACAGTTGGGAGCACAGGCTCCCCAGGCTCCGTCCCCAGCTGCTGTGCCGAGACCCCCTAGTAATGCTCTAGCCCGAGGAACTCTAAAAGCAAGCAATTTGCCAGAAGAACTGCGTAAGTTTCCAGTGCAGTTTTCTCCTTCTTTTTGTCAGGTTTTGTACTATGGGAAGGACTTCTGATCATTCATCTGTGTCTTCACATATTTCTCACATACATGGTGAAGGAAGATTTACTATTTTGCTTTTGCTTGAAACATAACTAGCATTGTATGATTGCTAGCAATTCCAACATCACCAGTAATCCTCACAAACTGCTTACCACTATTTCTGCAGCACATACTCCTACAACAAAGAATCCCAATGTCTTATTTTTGCCTTCTGAATGATGCTCCTGAGTGAACTTGTCCCTGGGTAAATTGATTGGATGTCCATGTGGCACTGCAGAAACCTAGAGTCTCACCATATATTAGCAGCAGTTATCAAGAACGAGGTCATTTCCTGTAGGAATGAGCAATCTTGTTTGAAAAAAACCAGTCTCACATTCTCCATCCTGCTTCACAACCAAATGCAAACGAAGCCTTTTATTTAAAGAAATATTCAACTAAGTGTCAGGTGATGATTTTTTTCCCATATTTTGCTGCCAGAAACAGCAATGTTGAAATATCACCAAAATGTTCTCAGAATAAGGTCAGTCAGAATAGTTTGTTCCAGAAATCTTAAGAAAACAGCCACCATTTGTAAATTTACTATCCATTCTGCTTCTTAGAAAAGCTCAGGTAATTCTAATAATCTCTTTCCAAATATGCAAAACTCTGTGCCAAACTTGACACGAAACCCTTTGATTCTGCTAATTCCTTAGGGTGATCTATACTCTTTCATCATTTACAACTCTGAAAGATTTTTATGACAATGATTCATTGTTTTCATTTAAGTTTTTATTTCTGAGCGCTTTAATATGCAGTTTACTTTGAGCTTTTTTGTCATGCATGGAAAAACCCCAGTGTCAGTCCATAGGGCATATCTATGTTATCATAATCTATAAAGGGAGTATAAACTTATTTTTGTAAGAACTGGGTGACTAGTAGGTATGGAGAAGAAAATAAACTGAATACCACCAATAGGCCTGGCTGCTTAAATGTGTCAATATGGCCATTACATACTCTTCTGTTTGGGAGAAGTGTTTTATTTTATATATATATTCCGGTACCGGGGATTGAACTCACAACCTTGCACTTTCCAGAAAAGGGCGTATATTTCTGAGCTAAATCCCAGGTGGGAGAAATGTTTTTAAAAAACAGGAATCTAGCCTGGGAATTTAGCTCAGTGGCATAAGTGCCTGCCTGGCAAGTGTGAGGTCTTGAGTTTGATCCCTGGTACCAGAAAAAAAACAAAAACCAAAAAAGCCAGAATCTAAGCATAGATAAATACATTTAAACTCACATTTTCTCTGTGGCCCTCTTTCTTTTCTACCTGTGCCCTGGGGAGGTCCTTGAGATTTACCTGGTCCATTCCATACTAAAAGCCAACATACAGAGATCCTTCATCTCTCACATTAAAATACTAGCCAGATAATTTCCCCAAAGGCTTTAGCCTGAGAAAACCTTACTTCTTGTCCTGGCTTGGGCAAGCTTGTCTCAAGAGCACTGTCTTGGGGCTCTAAGCTGGCCTAGGAATGAGAGAAGTCTGTGATGTTGGACCGCCCCGAGGCAATATCTCTCCTTGAAGTTCCTCTCTCTCTGAAGCTACTGAAATTTTACCAATATTTCTGAGCTGTTTGTTACTCTGCTCCAACTTGCTGGCCTTTCTCCAGAAGTGAGTAGTTGGGGAGAAGAAACTGCTTTCTCATTGTCCCCCACTTGTCAGACAAGTGTTCAGGGCAGCAGAGAGCATTATGAGATCAAAAGAGGACACGGCTGGGTGGCCCCTTAGCAAGCCTTAGCTTCCTGGCCTGCTGCGAGTGTTTTCCTTGGGCACCTTGCCAGATGTCTTTAAGAAACCACTCTGGCTTGAGCTTAAGGACCATGAGTTCTAGGCAGTGAGTTTTTAGTTATTGCTGTTGTTAATACTTCATGTGGTTCTTCAAGCCCCTGAGGCTTGTCTCCTGTGATTGCTTGTCTCTGTCCCTCTGATTTTCTTTCACCCTGAGCAGTCTGTGCTCCCTGTGGAGGCCCTTGGCCCGAAGACAGCCGTCCCCCCACCCAACTTCCCAACAACAAACATCTGCTCTTCTACCACCTCACCCCAAGGTTTCCCTTACAACTCCTGATAGATAAGAGACATTACATATGATTTACAAGTATTGTGTAGAATAGAATAATTCAATGAATTTTTTTTTTGTCTTTTTCGTTTTTATCAGTACCAGGGATCGAACTCATGACTGCCTGTTTGCAAGGCAGGTGCTTATGCCGCTGAGCTAAATCCCCAGCCCCAATTCAATGAATTTTTAATAAATGTGAAATTTTTCTCTTAGGCAAAGTCTTCGTCACTTATTCTATGGACACAGCTATGGAGGTGGTGAAATTCGTGAACTTTTTGTTGGCAAATGGTTTCCAAACGGCAGTAAGTATTTTGTCCAAAGAGAAAATTGAAAAGTTGAAGTTCAGTGACAAGAAAGAAATTTGACAAAGGATAAATAGTTGCTGTTTCACAGCTTTATATGATTCTGAACTAAATGTTTATGGAGTTAGGGAATTATTTTCTAGATTTTAACTATCCAAAGTCTCCAGCATTTCCCCACCATGTGCTTTTTGTATGATCCTGAGTACCTCCAGACAGCAAGAATGGTACTAATGCTGACCATAAAGACAGCTGGCCCCTGGCCTGAAGGAAAAGCCAGGCTCTCATTGTACTTTGTACCTTTGTCCCTTCTTACCAGTTTGTGCTCCCTGTGATACAGGAAGCTGCAGACCTCCCCACAGTCACCTGCTTATTTGACAAGGTCCTTTTGTTCTGCACTGGATTTGAGGTTTGAAGTAGAACCCTGGCAATCTGGGTCCCCCACTGTACAAAGCTGCCCTTCCACACCTTGATCTAAGGGAAGCAGGACTAATCCAGTCCTGCAGGTCCACTGTGATCTTGGCCCAAGCAATCTCAAGCACATACTCCTCCTGTCCCGTGAAAATGCACAGCTTGAAGCCATGTAAGTTTTTCTTTAGGATAAATAAAATACCACAGGACACTATTCAGAGGGCTGGCTTTCCTCAAACACTGAGATCACTTCTTTTCCCTTCCAGAGGCCTCTTCTAGGTATATACTCAGAGTGAATTATATTGAGTTGTAAAAAAAAATTCATGGTGGATGAATAAAAATATTGAATAATTTAAGAGGAAGAAAAATAGAGTAAAAAAGTTACATAACACTGTTTAACAATTTGAAGTTTTCTTTATTCTGTAATACTTTTTAAATGAGAAAGTAAAAATTTTAAAATATGCCTATAATTTATACAACCTAACTTCGGAGTCTAAGATTTTACTTTCTTATTTCTAGAGTAAGAAATTACAATGGTAATGGTGACACAAAATCAGTGCATAAGACAAAAGGTCCACATTTTCACAGAGATCTTACCTTTCATCTTTTTCAAATATACTGATTGCCACTGGAGAAGAGCCCAGCCTTTTTGACCTTACCCATCAGGGGCTCTTTAGACAGAATTAGATCTGTCCTTGATCCTCATCCTATGAAGCCTTGAGGTGGAATTGCAGAGCCCTGTTTCAGAGAGCTAAGTCAGTATTGATATATCAGGATCCTCTGTTCTCTATGGATACATCAAGTGGGATGGAACACTTCATGGGGAATTTGAGGCAAGTTTAACAGACTATTACAAAACTGTAAGACATTTAGTAAATGAAAGGATGTTATAATAATGTGTTAATTGTGTAGTACACTAGTGGTCATAGTTCAGGGGGAGTTTGGTGAAGTGAAGAGGTGGAGGTTAATGTATGGGAGGGATTCACAGGGCAGGGGGTTTATGTGCTTTTAGCATGCAAGGGAGTAAAATAGATAGATCACATGGGACTAAGAGGTAGGAAATTTGATGATGGCTGGAACTTGTCCTGTTTAGTCTTAAATGACAAAGTGACATTCAAGACAATTAATCTGGGAGGAATATGGCTGAACCAAATAACCCTCTCTGCAAATTACCCAGTATATAACCTCTCCTCCAATCGGGAGTACCTTGTGCACACACACACACACACACACACACACACACACACACGCACAAAACACTCCTCACTGTAAGTCTGGCTTTCCTATTTGGTCTTCTGTAAAACAGAAAATAACTGATTAGAGTTTTTTTTTTCTCTGAATACCCTTTCAAAGACTTGAAGACTGATACTAAATACAAGTCTTATCAAGTTCCAAGAGGTCTTCTGACTTCCATCGCAAACCTTTTCACTACTATTTCAGTGGTGGTTGCCTGGGCTCCAAGTTTCATGCGCTCCTTTTGAAATATATAGATTGAAACTGGACATAATAATGACCTGAATACTGCAAGTATAACACCAAAGTTGTGTCTCAGAACTTTACACTACAATACAGAAATAAGTAATTGTGTTTGCTTTTCAAACTTTCAAACTTCAAATATCTATAAATATAATGCACCTGGCTTACATCCAATTTAGTAGTATACTATGCCCCTCAGACCTTTAAAAACATTTTTATAAAGCCACAGATTCATTTAATATGAACCACTATATTCTAATTATAGATACTAAATACTTAAATGCCTACTAAAGTTGAAATAGACAATATTTTATGAAAATTCTGTTTTGCTATTTGGATTTATGTGCTCTTCCTTGCAAAAAGCACTAGTAACTTTTTGAGTTGTAAATGTATGTAGCCTCTTGTGTTTTTTCCGCCTCTGCATCCAGAGAATGTTTCATTAAGAGCCAATTCCCACATCTTTTTCTTGCAGATTGACATATTTGAGGATAGAATCCGAGGCATTGATATTATTAAGTGGATGGAGCGCTACCTTCGGGATGTAAGTATATTCCAAAATTCTGAGATTATTTTCTGGCAAGAAAGACAATTAGCTTCTGAAGTTATTTTATGGAAGAAGCCCTGGCATATCCACCCGAGTCTGAAGCTGAGAAAATCTGAACAAAGCCTGTGTTGTTCGAAGCCGTGCAGAGACTTGGAAAGGAAGGATGAGGTCGCCCTCCTGGACATGCCCAGGCAGGAAATAACGGTCAAACCAGACACAGGTGGTTGATAACAATCAGAGCAAACAATTTCTAGACCAGAATAGGAAAGGAGGAAATGAAGGCAGGGAGTGGAGAGGGAGCAGCAGAATTCAATTGAATCTGAGGCCACCCCAAGTGTTTTGTAGGACTGGGCTGAAGAGGTTTCCCAGGCAGCCTTACAGGCTGCACAGCATGCCACCCCCGAGGCGCCCACTCGCAGCTCCGTGATTTGTTTTCCACTGACAGAATCTATACCAGCCACTGAGACACTTTGTGCCTTAACAAGATAGAAATTGATTGCTGCCAGTGTGTCTGTCCGCAGCAGCTTCTTTGGGCGGGAATGGGGGCGGGGCGGGAGTCTCAGCAGGCTGGGGTTTGCAGCTTTTCCTTTTGTCTACAGCCTGATGTTTGCTTTGTGCGGAAGGGTGTCCTCCTACTGACTGCGCTAATGCAGACGCAGAAAGCAGGGCAGTGGAGAGTGCAGCAACTGACGGCTTAGATCCAGCTGCTGGGAGGGAGGCAGAATCTTTTCATCCTTGAGCCTGCAGTGCCTTTTCCTCAGAATGCAGACTAGCTTAGTGATTCAGGCGGTCCGTCATTAGACATTATTAGAGATGCTGTAGAAAATGGTGGGCAAAAGTCTATCTGCTCAGGAGAGCTTCTCAAGGAGCCGTGTGCTCAGCGTGTTTGAATGGAGCTGGGCAGGGAGGCGGTGAAGGGGAGTGAAGACCAGAGTGTGCCTGAGTGGAGCCAATGCCTTCGGCTTTCCACAGAGGGGGAGCCTGGCTCCCATCCTGCAGCAGGTCAGGGAAGGCTCATTGTCCTGCTGGCCAGTTTCCAGCCAGCTGTCACCAAATGGACCACACTTCCCACTTCCATAAACATGCTTTTCTCTCTCTCATTAACAGAAAACAGTAATGATAATCGTAGCAATCAGCCCCAAATACAAACAGGATGTGGAAGGCGCTGAGCCGCAGCTGGACGAGGATGAGCACGGCTTACATACTAAATACATTCATCGAATGGTGAGTGATGAAGGGACACAGGGTCTCCATGCCCTTGAAGGATGGACATTTGCGCTAAAGAAGGCCAATTCTTCACTGGAGATCAACTGAAGGCTCATGGTGGTGGGTGAAGAATCCCAGGCAGGCCTCCAGTGTCAGGACAGGGGATGTCTGTTGTGGTCTGTTTACCTGTTTGAGACCTCTGATCAGTCAGCACACCTTTGAAAGGACACAGCATTCCCATCAGTAAAAGGGGAGAACAATATTTGGCCTTTGGGAGCTGAAATTTTGGAAAGCAGGAGTCTCCTGGCCTGGCTGTTTGCTAAGAAATGTGATACTCTGAGAGGGTGGCAGACAGGGCTGTGAAGAGAATGAGCTCCTGCACTTGAGTCACATTCTGTGCCCTGCCCTGTGTGTGTGTGTGTGTGTGTGTGTGTGTGTGCGCCCGTGTGCGCAGTGCTGGGGATTGAACCGAGGACCTTTGCAGTAGGCTATATCCCCAGATGCTCACCCTGCCTTTTTTTCGTTTTTATTCTGAGACAGGGTCTTTCCAAGGTGCCCAGGCTGGGGTTGAACTTGTAACCCCCTTCCCCAGCCTTCTACAGTGTTGGAATCAGAGGTGTATGTTGCCGAGCCCCACTGTCCCCGGCCTTTTCAGAGACACAGGGTAACAGAGTGGAAGGAAAACATGCTGTTGCATCAGATAGGCTTGGTTCAAATTTGGCTTCCTAATGTGTGACTGTGGCCCGACCACTTGAATCCTTCTGTGTCTCTGTTTCCTTCTTCATAAAATGGGCATGAATACAGTATTGCAAAGACAAAGTGTGTTTGTGAAGTATCTGACACATCTCAGGTGCTTATCAAAGGGACTGTTCTTAGCTCATGACAGGTAGGGAATAGTCCACTCCCACATCCTGCACTAGGAGGCCTAGTCAAATTGAAATCAGTAAGACAACTTTAGAAGAAACTGGACTTGCTCAATGTCTAAGAACGTTGGGTCTTTGGAATCACCCAACTTTGGAACTGGCTGTTTATGGTAAAGAAATCTTTCTCCTCTCCATGGCCGCAGAGATGCTATTGAGACCATTTCAGCTTGACCAGGAAGCCAGGCTAGACTTGTGACTTTTGAGCTGTCCTGGTGCCCAAGTGTCCTGGAGGTGGAGCTGGCTCTGAGCCTCCATTTTAGCCAGGGATTGTTTGCATTTCTTGAGCTTCTTTACCAAGGATTGTGAGATTTTAAAAGGCCTGAAAACTCACGGGACTAAAAGTTATAAGATCCATTTCAGCTGTGACCCCACACAAAGAGGGAGGCACTTAGGGTGAACATAAAGTATCACTGACAAAGATGGGTACGTGGAGCGGAAAGCAGAGAGCAGCACAATTCTGGAAGCACTCAGGCAGTCTCAGGACAGGCAACTTTACTTCAGAGGAAGTGAAGGCAAATTCCAGGTCCATCCTGTGCTTTAGGAGCACAGAAAAAGGGTAGGTGGGTAGGCAATTGGGTGCCTCCATTTGGGTCTTCAGGATCTCTCTATCTTTATTCACCAAATGTGGACCACTCATGTGAACTCTCAGCCAACTCAAAACAAAAGCCAAGGGAAGGTGGTTAAAAGTAAGGCCAGGAATTAGGAAGGAAGTTTCTTTCCTATTCCAGCATTCCCTGGTCTGATTCCTATGGGAAGGGATCCAAAAAGGTATCATTTCTAGAAGTAAACTGACCCAAAAGGTAACGGCTGATTCGGCATGCTTCAGTCCCTTGACTATGTCACATCTACATGTCCCAAAAACACTTAATGGAGGTCCTATCTCCATTCCAAAAAACCTGCCAATCCTAGCAGCCCACAGCTAGTGTGTGGGCTCCAGGTCCTGCCAGTTCCTGAGGAAACCTGTCTAGCCCTGCTGATGCGTGGCAAAGCCAGACAGCAATACCAGCTCACCCTCAGAGCTTAGCTGACTGTGCCAGTTATAAACACATTGTCTCCAGACTTGGTTTCTTGGGCACCAATGCCTTGGACCTTTCCTCATCACAGAAAAATTTGAATTGGCCAGATAACCTTCTTGCCCAGCTGACTGACTTGCTGGTCCCCTCCAGGTAACAGAAAGCCTGGTATGATAAGAATTTGACCATGACAGAAGGAATGAAGAGCCACTCATGAGTAACTGTACCATAGAGCAAACACTGCATAGAGTGCCTAACTGGAGTATAAGAAACAGTAAAAATGAACTGTCATTGGCTGGGCCTTGGGTAGCTCAGTGGACAAGCGAGGCTTCACATTCCAGTCCTGGCAATCTGAAAGGAAACCAGGCTTTCACTTGTAGCTTGCAGACCCTGTCCTTCCTTTTCCATGTTTGCTCTTGCTGGTGTGGTCAGGACTGTTAGTTGTACAGTGCTTGTGGCATTTTAATGTATGTTTTTTTGGTGTTGTCTTCTGATTTTTGAGGAGAGGTGGTCCTGAGAAAACACCTGGTGGCAGATTTGTGTTGTGTGACTGTGTGTTAGTACATGAGACTGGGTGATTGTGAGGGATTTCTATGGTTATTTTAATAAAAGGCCATCACCATTGTCACTTTCTTTACTTCTGTTTTTATGTGCTATGATGAAGTCTTCTCAGTTATAAAAATCAGTAAGATGCAACGGTCAACAACACATTTCTTCATCTCATTGTGATCAGATGACTGAAAGCTTTGTGCTGGTCTCGGGATTTGGAAGACTCTAACTCTCCTGCTATTGAATATTCTGATTTTGATAGAATTCTTGGCAGCTAAATCTTCTTGGGCCACCACAGCGTGAGAACGAATTAAACTGGTGTAGAAACCTTGGGTGTGGCTGACTGGGCTCTAGGAAACTGTCCTCCCTGCCTGTCTCCCAGCAGTCTTCAAGCCCTCCCTCTTTCCAGCTGCAGTGGATTGCTATCTGTCCCAACAACACGGACACACTTCCTCACTTCTAGACTTGCTTCCTCTGTGTTGTCTGCTGATCCTGGCCTTCCCCCTCTCCATCCTCCCTGCCTAACCAAAGCTTCCCATACCAAAATGAACCCGTCTTTGTAACTGTTCTTCAGAACCCTAGATGCAGAATAGACAGCCCCTATTGTGGCTACTTTTCACTCTGTCTTCTGGGTGGTAATGTTCTTTTCTGTTTGCTTGCTAGACTACTGGCTTTGGGAGGATAGGGATGGTATTAGTGCTGTTTTGCTAAATTAGCTCACAAAAACAAACGAACAAACAAAAAACAATTGAATTTGTAGCACTTACCCATTTTCATGGTATAAATACTCTCACCATGGGAAATTTCTAGCTACTAATGTAACATAAAGTTACTGAACACAAAATTGGGAAGATGTACACACAGCTGGCTCCTGTGAGTTGATGCAAGCCAATACCAGCACACTCTGGAGCAGGCCCTAGTCCTGTAAACCCAAAGTCTAGCGCAGAATGTGACTTTTGAGAAATGATTAATAAATGAGTGTAAGGCATAGTGTATAATGAGAAGGGCTTGAAGTTCCAAGTATGTGGGCTATCCAATGAGGCAGTTAGAATACTATGTGGGCCTGCATTACTGTGAGTACAACCAACTCCTCATTCCTGAAATTAAACCTTCATATTTGTTTGGTTTCAGATGCAGATTGAGTTCATAAAACAAGGAAGCATGAATTTCAGATTCATCCCTGTGCTCTTCCCAAATGCCAACAAGGTAAACAACCAGCCAAAAAAAAAGACTTAAAATTCAGTCTTTGGTTTGTTTGCCATTGAAGTTTTAAGAAGAAAACTCCATCAATCCTTAGAGATACCAGTATTACCAGAATGACCAACAAGTTTCATCACTCAGTTCAGCAGCATGGATCAGAAAGGTCTGAAAGTAGGATCCTGGCTCTAATTGTTCAAACAGTGACAACATACAAAGCAGTTTGTGTTTTTTTGTTTTGTTTTGTCTTTTTTCCTTTTTATCGGTACCAGGGATCGAACTTATGACTGCCTGCTTGTAAGGCAGGCGCTTATGCCACTGAACTAAATCTCCAGCCCCAGCAGTTTGTGTTTTAACTCATGAGAGATCATTTATTGATATTCCTTATTGCTTGCACATAAAAGATGTGAACATCACTGCTGCTTGTTCCCCATAACTGTTTTGTTATACCTACTTCAGTTCTCAAAGCTGTAAACAGGAATTAAATTTGCACAGTCACTTATGTGAGTTCTGCTATGGTTTGCACAAGGGTCTGAAGACAGGCTGACTAACTGGGGGCATTGAAGGGTATGTTCTAGATCTGGCAAAGGGAAGGCACTGGGGAGATAAACGCACCAAGAATCAGACACAGCCCTCTGAACTCAGACCCCAAGCTTTACCTTGGAGAATCCCCAGATGTCAGGGATACATAGACTCTCTGCACTGGATGGGGAAGGTTCAGCTTATGTGAGCAGGACACATAAGATTGTATGATGATACACCTTCTCCCCGCCCTGTTACCCAGGACTCACTGGTCTCATTTATGGTGAATTACCTTACTGGTTTCCACTTTGATGTATAGCAGATGCCTCTGCTATGTCATCCATATGGAACATCCGATCTGCCTTTGTTCAGTTTAAAAATCTAGTGGTACTTTCCCACTCTCTACAAAATCATATCTACCTTTCTTAGTGGGGCATGAGGCCCCTTGGAAGGAAACTGGACCCCTTCTTCTTTCTTATCACCCTGAGCCCTGTGCTTTAGTCATATTGGACCATTTCAGCATACCTTCAAACGTGCACGTCTTCTCACCATCCCATGCCGTGTCCTTCCTGTGCTCTGCCTAGTGCACTCCTGCTTATCCCTATACCATCCAGTGACTCTCGCCTCCCTTGAGGCCTCCCTTCCCCCATACTGGTATGTTTACAGTCCCTCTCTGAGCACTCTTAATTACAGTATCTTCTGTCAATGGTATGGATGTGGGGTGGGAGTGCTGGGAACAATTATTTGAGATTAATACAGATTCCTGAGAACATGGCGGACAGACAACAGCAACTGCTGAACGCTCTCTAAAGGCTCGGCTCAGAGGCCAGGAATGATGCGGACTAAGGAGATACGAACCAGTAGAGATATGCTCTGCTGACTCAGGAACGAACTGGGCTGAGAGAATCCAACTTGGAATACAGCCCTGGCGCTAAAATAGGAACAGAAAAATCTCGGTGTGGAGACTCGACTCCGCGCCATCGGAAACCGCGGTTTGGATTTCCCGCCGCGCGGCGGCCGGCCACCTCCACAGCGGCTCGGCAAGGAGAGACGCGACCCCCGAGCTCTGGGAACGGGCGTCTGGGAACGGTCTCGGAAACGCGACGGGCAGGAAGGAAGGCTGACTGGTGGCGAGGTGAGCGAGGAACTGACTCCCTACCGCAGTCTGACTCCAGCGGAGGATTTTCTGGGCGCGGGCAGTCCTGTAAGAGCAGGGCGCGGTGGCAACTGCAGCCGCGCATTTCCCTCTCGGACGGGATTGGTGAAAGGTTCCTGGCCGGAGGGACGCTGCTCGTGGACCCCCTAGGCTGGCCTAGCCCAGATCCCAGAGCCTGACGGTGGCCCGGAGGAGCGACCGACTTCCGCGTAGGCTGCTTCCTCCTCAACTCCCTGGGGCGCAGCGGTGGGCGGAAACAACTAGCCAGCGCAATTTGATCAAGCTGTAGCTGACAGGCAGGGAAGCCGGGCCTCCTGTGTAAGATTACATTTTATAAGGAACAGAAAATATGGGGAAGGGAAGCAACAAAAAAGGCTCCTCGACCCCCAATCCTGAGAATCAGGCAATAGTGGACACTGTACCAATATACATTAAGCGCCATTTAGAGAGCCTCATAGACCAATTCAGGAATGAAGTTATCAATGACCTGAAGCTAGAAGTATGCAGAATAGTTAGAGAAATGCTAAGCACCACCCAGGAAAAAGCAGATGGTGGAGTGGAAGAACAGAAAAAGAGGGGAGAATTGCTTGATGGAGAAAACAGAGAAAGCATTGAGTATGTGAAGCAGGTGCAAAGGGACTATCAAGAAATCAAGAAATATACCCAAGACTGGCATAACAGCTTGAAAGAAACTAAGGACAGACTATCTGAATTGGAGGGCAGACTTGAAACATGGGAGAATGAAATGAAAAACTTCTTAAAAATAACAAAGAAACACACAGCAATAATACAAAGACAAGAAGATGATAAGAGGAGCCATAACTTAAGGATTAAGAACATAAAAGAAGAAGTAGGGACACAAACAAGTGAACTACAAAAGCTACTCACAGAAATAATCCAGGAGAATTTTCCTAATTTAGCAAAAGGTAAAGATACTCAAATGTATGAGGCATACAGGACCCCAGCTACCTACAACCCTAACAGAGAAACACCCAGGCATATAATAATAAAAATTCCAGAAATTCAATACAAGAACAGAATATTAAAAGCTGTAAGAGACAAGAAACAGATCACTTACAAGGGAAGACCCATCAAAATTACAGCAGATTTCTCTTCACAAACCATCAAATCACGAAGAGCATGGGGAGAAATAATTCAAGCTTTGAAAGATAATAATCTACAGCCAAGATTGAGATATCCTGCACAACTGTCCCTGGAAATTGATGGAAAAACGAGGTGCTTCCAAGATAAAGAGGAACTGGGGGAATTTGCAACCACCAATCCAACCCTACAGAAAGTATTGCAGGATATTCTAAAAAAAGAAAAATACAAAGAACCCAGAAATAGGGGCGGGGAGGCCACAACGAATAGAGCAGAGACCAAAACGAAGAAGACAAACTGACAGCTACTGACAGAAAAAGAGCTCAACAGAAATGAGACAGAGAAGATTGGATGATAGGAACAGCTTTTTTTTGGAGAAAATGACATCTTAATAGGTAATGCTGATTTAGTACCATCTTGTTTTGAGGTCTCATCTAGCTTTTGTTCTTCTGTCTCCAATGGTCTAAACAGGTTGTATCTTATTGGATTTTACTATGTACGATAATATAAGAAAAAACCTTTTAAAGACAAGGAGATTATACAGAGACCATTGTTCATTTTCTGTTGGTCGATTCTAAATGCTCTGTAATGCTGTTATTCTCTTAAATGGTTATACATTGTTTTGATATACTTAATGCTACAGTGTATGAAGTTGTACTCAAGGACTTCAGGGAGGGAGTCAATATGGTAACTATTTTTGGGTCAGGATTAGCTGGTGGTGAAACACTGTTCTGCTTAAATGGTTATGTTTTGATCTGCCCTGTTTCGCTGTTATGCCCTCTTTTTTTCTCAATCTCCACTCCATTATTTACTTTTTTATTTTTACCCATTTAATTACAGGGAAAAATATAGCAGGATATAATATAGTAACCCACTTCGACTTTCTATTATCTCGATTTGAAGCCCTGTATTACTCTCACCATCTTGTTTTTGACTGAGGTTCCTATATTCTGTTTTGCTGGATAGTATCAGGTTCGAAAGTTTAGGCATCAGCTGAGAAGATAATGAGATTCATTACAACGCCCATTCTCGTTAACTTTCATCTACTTTTGAAGACCTACAATGTCTCCAATGTTTTGGTTTTGTCGGTTTTATTCTTTACGGTTTTGTTCAATTGTATTACAACTAATGATATAGGCAATTCTATTAGAAATAGCGGGAGGCATTAGGGTAACCATTGTTGATCACCTTGTATTATGTTTTTATATTATCTATTATGTCCACCCTTTTGACTTGACCGATTCTGTTCTATTATGTCACATTTGGTTTTACTCTCTTCCAAAAAAGCAACAAGAACCGTGGGAGCAATGAAACCCAAAATGTGTAATAGTCACTGTACAAAAGAGAGGAAAAGAAAGTGCTCTAAACTATATAACTGCATGTATATTTAAAAGTATAAGATAGAAAATGATATCACAGAGTTTTATTGGATCATTGAACAGAACTGTTTGCAGTATCATTGGTGGAATGTCCACTCTACAAGCTTTAATTTTGTGACTTGAACAATTATTTCTAAGATGGCAATATGTAATCCATTAACTAGTGATTTCCTACTGCGCATTTTTTTATTCTGTAAATCTGTATAACTTGTACCCCTTCACTGTTTTTTTTTTCTTTCTTTTCTTTTCTCGTTAAATAAAAATTTAAAAAAAAAAAAAAAAAAAGAGATTAATACAGCATGGTGATATAAAAAAACAGTCCAACTTCTAGTAGGTTTTATTACTGTTTTTAAGTCCTTTTCAGGCAATTACCTTATTGCCTGAGTAGAGGACATACTGCTTTAGAAAAGAGTTTATATATATGTATGTTGCCACCATGTAAGATCTTAAACTTGAGACAGTTACTGTGTTTTTTTTAGTGGGTATCTTCCATCCTTAACATGATGTCTGACCTATGCCAGGGGCTGCTTTTAAACGCCTATAGTCCCCAAAAAATGCATCTTGGAATAAAACTTTACAAGGTCCTGTGTAGATTACAGAGCCTTTACTTCCAGTGTCTCCTATTCACTCTCCCTTCCTCTGCTGTAGCCACACTGGCCTTGTTGCTTTGAATAGGCCCGAAACACTTTAACCACAGGGCCTTTGCACTGGCTAGGTATCTGGTTGAACAAGGACAAACACAAAGCTATCTCCCTATGCCCCTGTAGCTCTGTGCTCATTTTTTCAGTGGACCTTTCCTAAATACTTCTTTTAAAACTGCAAACCTCTCACTCTTGCCCTAGCACTCCCTTCCCCTTTTCTGTTTTATTTCACCCCATGGCACATACTACTGTTGAACACACTACCCACTTTAGTTATCTGTCTGGCCGAAGCAGAACATGTACTACAGAAAAACAATCAAAAACTGAGCCCCCAGGATGATAGGCTTTCAGTTCCTGCCTTTACCTGGTAAGAGAGTTCTGGTAGGTTCCTTCTAATGCAGGCCAGAGTGAAAGCACAATGAAGTAGATTAAGTCCATAGGCTTGGCATCCATCTCCCAAAGTCACAGGGGAATGCACATCGCTCTGGGTGACCTCTGTCCTACCTCTTTTATGTGAGGGTGGTGAAAAGCACATTGAAATGCAAAGGGCAGGTAGCCTGGGAGACTGACAGCAAATGCTTTACACATGTGGTTTCCATAATGAGATCTTCAGCCTGTGCCCCAAGCCAAGAGTATTTCACTTGCTAAACCCTTCCAAAAGCAAAACAACGCAACTCCCCGGGTAATTTGGTAGGAAACGCCCATAAGGGAAAGCCAGAGATGTTTGGGAACCAAGCCTGGGATCTGGAATCCAGGTTTTTCTTCTATGACCTTTGCTCCTGTCATTCTCTCTCCTGCAGGAACATGTGCCTACCTGGCTTCAGAACACTCACGTTTACAGCTGGCCCAGGGATAAAAAAAATATCCTGCTGCGGCTGCTGAGAGAGGAAGAATATGTGGCTCCTCCCCGGGGGCCTCTGCCCACCCTTCAGGTGATACCCTTGTGATACCAGCCAGTCCCAGATCACTGGGCTCACGTTCGCTTGGGACCCTGTTCTACAGCACTCTACAGGTTGAAGCTGGTTGGTGACATGCACGGCTGCTTCTCCGCATACTTCCTCTGTGGCACACTTGCCCTCAGTGACAGGCTGCTGTGCATTCCTTGCTTTGCTGAAGGTGCCCAAGTCTGTCACATGCCTCTGTACAGTCTGATGTGTTCATTCTTGGCCTCTCGAAGCTCAGTAAGTAGATAATGTAATGGGGATACAGCGACAAATGTTAAATGACCACAAACACTCCTGTTGCTACAGGGTACTTTCATGAGTAAGCCAGATGTATGTATGTCCTCAGACCAAACTGCTCCATGTACAAATAATAAAATGTTCACTCTTTCTTAAGAGTGTGTTTCATTTATCTCAAAGGAGATGAGCATATATTAATTTATAATGATATGGGTAGCCACTTCCTAGGATATCAACAAAGCTGCTTAGATATAATATTAGTTAAGTATAACAGACTTCTGTTATAACAGACTAAAGCCAGACACTTAAACACCCATTTTTAACAAAACTATGAAAGCTTTATTCTAGAGAAGTTCTAGAGAATTTTAACAAAATCACTCTATATAGCACATAGCTGTGATTTTAAATGGTGTTACTAGGCTGAGAATATAGCTAAGTGGTACAGCACTTTGCCTAGCATACACAAGTCCCTGGGTTCAATCCCCAACACCACGAAAATCAAACAGTGTGAGTATGGCTCAAAGATCTACAAATATTTGAGAACGTGTATGAATTGACAGGAAATGTGGAATGTAGGCTAGAGTTGTGGTTTAGGAGACCAGTGCTCTAATTTTGGGGCTTCTGCTAACCACCTGTGTGACCTCTGACAAGTCCTTTGTATTTTCTGAGATAGAGGGGACTTGTCTACAAATAACACGATCAAGATATCTCTAATGCCTTAAAAGGTCTGAGGTCTAGGCCCTAAATTCTAAATATTCTTTTGAGGACTAACTGATTTTTTATTTTCATAATTGTCTTTGGGGTGAATTTTTTTTTTTTTTTGTCTTTTTCTTTTTTATCGGTACTGGGGATTAAACTCATGACCACACACTTGCAAGGCAGGCGCTTATGCCGCTGAGCTAAATCCCCAGCCTCTGAGGTGAAATTTTTATACTTCTTTTTTGGGGGGAGGGGTATTAAATTTATTTTTAACTGATTGATAAAAACATAAAAATTGTACAAAGTGGGTACATTTCCTTAAAAGAAACTTTAAAAAATACCTTCAATACCTTTAGTTAATAATTTTGGAAATACATATATGTGCAAGTCATCTGATCTGCAAAAGAAAAACACATACACACATAAAATCTAAATAAATAGTAGAGCAAGGTAGGATGACTTTCTAGCCCAAGGTAACAGGTCAATCTGAAAACTTTTGGAGGGCTGAGAATTACTCCTTTCCCCTTGCTTGTCTATCTAATCTCTTAAACAAGGCTCAACTCAGTCTTATCATGGCTAAAGAACAAGTATTTATCAGTTATCAAGAAGAAAGGTTGCTAGTGAAATTGTAAAGAATATTAGTGTCAGCCCACTCAGCGCATCCCAAGGGAGATTTTCGCAGGTGAGGTCCCAAGGTTAAAGAATGCATGAGTGCATGACATCAGCAACAACAGCAGGCAGCATGGAGCAGAGAAGAGCCAGAGCGAGAGCCCCCAGTGTCTTTGTTGTATAATTCTTATTCAGGTTGTCAGCTCATACTTACATTCTTGCATAGTGCCCTAACCAGTACGTGTGTGTGTGTGTGTGTGTGTGTGTGTGTGTGTGTCTGTGTGTGTTTACCTGTGCTAAGTCATGGTTACCTAACTGTGTCTCACTGTGCACCTGTGCTAGACAAGTGGGGTCACATCCTCAGGTGTCCTTAGATGTCCCTGAGCTTTGAAGCAGCCTAAATGGTTCCCCACACTAGTTTTATTTACTTTGTAACTTAAAGGTCTGCTAGTTAGGGTGAAATTTTTTGTTTTCTGATACTGGGGATCAAACTCATTATCTCGCACTTGCCAGGCAGGCACTTATGCCACTGAGCTAAATCCTCAGCCTAAGATTTTTTTTTCAGTACTGGGGTTCAAATTCACGACCACATACTTGCAAGGTAGGCGCTTATGCTGCTGAGCTAAATCCCCAGCACTTTTTTTTTTTTTTTTAAATAGGAACCTAAAAGAAAACTTGTATAGCTTAAGTACTCATTTGTCAGACATTGTGACAAGAACTTTTAATTCTGTAGCATTTGAGACCTGGAAGAACTGATTTTCTGGATTGGTCAACTCAAAATGGCTGGAAAACACCCCAAACACTAATTTCAAATCTCTTTTCTCTCTTTTTATTTCTTTGGTTCAGGTAACACCATTATTAAGAATCCTACACCCAATAAATGACATTAACATTTTTACTCTGAATTGTTTGTAGTTGGCAGAGATTTAGTAATGTGTTGTTCTCTTTTCTTCAGAGACCTGTTCTGAGCTCTCATTCACTAGTTTTTTCAACTCTTCCTCCCCAAGTGGTTAAGAGAAAAGTCCCTGGTGTTCCACCAATAATTATTAAAGTGTTACAGCTGGTAGCACTGGTAGCAAAAAAACAAAACAAAAAGTACACACATATGCACACACAGGCACACACCTGGACAAGTGATGACAGGTTGGCCCTAAAGTTTCTGTGAGATCTGATGACTACCAGCATCAAAGGAATTTTAACAACTATTTGAGAGCACAGCACTCAGATTAACACTTAGTTTATTTAGATGTCACTATGGTCCTCATGCATTCATCTGTAGGTATTTGAGGGATGGCAGTGGGTGGGGTTGACTTAGTAAAAATAACCCCATGGCTTTATCCAGACCTAAATTTATTTTGGAAGTACAGTGGTGTGGAATGTAACATTAGATTCTTGTTTAATATTTAGTGGTTAATTTAGAATTTTAAATATAATTTTTAATTTTAGAGATTGATTTCAGAAACTACCTGCCTGTCTAGTTAAATTTAACTTCTATATTGTTCAAAGACATTTTGATACATGGCTATAATCGAAGTATTAGACTATTTCTCAGCTCAGTGCTCAGAAAAATTATTGCTGTTGATGTCCTTTCTTTGTTTCATGTTAAATAAATCACCTCCTTAATGACTGAGTTCTTCTCAGAGTCATCTCAGCAAGGGATGCAAATTCCCTGTTTTGAACATTCCATCCTAGTTTTACGATGTTTTTGCCAAGAGTATTTTTGCTAACCCCAACCACTTGTCAACCACCTCATCCACTTTGCCAAACACCCCATTGTCACCACCACCTTTGCCAAATGGATTGCACAGTCTTATGAGCATTGGGAAATAATCCAGAAAGAGTCTCAAAACACAAGATCTTTCTGTTTCTTCTTAGTGAACCCAGAAGAATCAGCAAGATCCACCTCCAAGTAACACATGAAAAGAAGGAAGGTTATACCGTGGGAAAATGCCAGAAAGAAGCAGTGCTTCTCAGTCTGGAGAATTATGTACAAAATTGCAAAATAAATAGATTTATATGAGACCACTGACCAAATAAACAACAAAGTACAAGGATGAAAGAAGGCACTAAAATAACTAAATTTTAAGATTATTTATTCTGTCGTGGAATTTTCTGTCTGGAAAAAACCTAAAAATCACACACACTCTGCAACTTTATTTTTTTTTTTTTCTTTTTCGTTTTTATTGGTACCAGGGATCGAACTCACGACTGCCTGCTTGCAAGGCAGGTGCTTATGCCACTGAGCTAAATCCCCAGCCCCGCAACTTTATTTTATATGGGAGGAAAGCAAGACCAGAGAAACAGTGACTTGTCAAAGTCCACCCTATGGCTAGGACCCAGGTGTTCTGATTTCCAGACTGTAGATACTGATTAGTGAGCCTGAAAAGCTTTTCTAAGCTTTGATGGGAGATTTGCTTGACAAATGACCCAGTGTCTCTCTGAGGGATACAAAGCTTCATGAACATGGGAGGTTTGAGTGAAGATGTGTCTGCTACCTGTCCTCTGGTGGCTGGAGGATTAAATGATCCTGTTGCAGCTTGCTCTGTGACAAATTCTTCAGGGATTAATTAATGCTATGATTATATGGAATATAGGTTTTCTTGAACTAGTTTGGCATATTTATTTTGTACTGATATGTGAAATTTAAAGGGTCTTGACACCTTCCTGGAGCTTAAAGACAAATCTGCTATTAGATCAATTTAGTTTCGTCTGGCCAATTTCCAAAGTATCAATGATGAAAGGAAATTTTATTTTACTTTGCTTATTTTAATTTATTTAATTCACTTTGATATAAGTTCTTACCCTGTTGTCCTGGCTGACCTCAAACTCTTGAGATCAAATGATCCTCCCATACAGATGGGACTATAGGCACCAGCCACCATGCCTGTTAGGGTTTGTGTTAAATACTGTGATAATTAATCTTTCTCTCACACTTCAGATTCTACAAAGGTAGCACTTGTTGGAGTCAGAGCTATGGGGATAGGAGAACATAGGGTCATGTTCTTTCCTCTCCTTTGGGTGGGCAGTGGCTTCAGAAAAGGAGTCTTTTCGCAGCAGGAACATCAACAACACAAAGCAGCCTAGCTGCTCAGACAGCACAGGTGGCATTCTGGGAGACCTTTTACCCACCCAGGGCAGCATGCTCCTATCTCCATACTTCTGTTTGAAAATGTTTCAGGCTCAGTCACAGGTATTTGGTGTGAGCTAGGTGTTTTCATTGACTCACCCACATGTCTGCCACGTCCCCCACCCAGTGTTTGTCCTTTAGTTCTTAGCCTCAAGCCAAGCAGGTGAGACCTACAAGAGGAATAATTAGTGTGCTTGAGTTTTCTACTTAACTTCTCATGGAACCTGTGCATACAGGTATACGTCTCATTTATTTGGGTGATTAGGAAGTGCTACTTGGGCCTTTACTATACAATGAGTCTCGGATCAGAGTGTCCCTGGGAAAAGGCGACCATGCACTGGGCTTGTCCGTTCTTTTCTAAAAACTCCCGGAATTGCAGCCCCCAGATCTCTTGGGACTTGTAAACTAAAACCATGAGAGCACACATTTCTTGCCCTCTGTGTGACCTCCCTGTGCTCTCTTCACCAGGAAAGCACCAACAGTAGAAGGCAGCTGGGGAGAGAAGATGGGGGCAGTAAGCAGGAGAGAACTCCTGCCTGATGGATCCCATTAGGCTTAGTGTGCAAAGCAAGCTGAAATGAAGTAGCTGCTCTGGTATGTGTCCAAAACTGCTGCTCTATTTTTAGTCTCTCCTGTGTGTTTCTTAGTCCTTCCTTGTTTGCCTGGCACCTGGATCAGCAGCAAAACATGGAACCGAGCCATTCATTTGTAAAACTGGAAG